TCAACTGACCCCTGTGTCCAGTACTTGTTCTGGCCAGCTTGTTCTGCAGTATTGACCAAGCATTGCTGAGCTGAAGCAGATCCCTCATGCTAGTGTGAAGGAGTCAGAGCTGCTTTAGGCAGCTTCTGGGAGAGGAAACTGAAGTAGAAAGTGCAGTGTGAGAGAATAAAATGGAAAACAGCTGGAATTTTGCAACATGAATTTGCTGCTCTCATACAGTCTTCATTGTGCCAGTGTAACACTGGGTCTTTTGACTGAAGAGAGAGCAGCACAAGTCCCCAAATTTGTCATTTAAGAGGCTCACCGTGGGAATTAAATATTCTATATCTGGAGCAAAGAGATGAGTTAGTAACAGCCATCATGCATTTAGAAAATGAGGCAATCCTCATTGCTTGGTATCAGAAAGGTCATTCACAAATATTTATGAGGCCATGGTGACCTTCTGGATATGCTGATGATCTGATCTACTCCAGGTGTGACCTACATAAACCAGTTAGATTTGCCAGTACTTCAGACAATTTGTTTTCATTTGATTATCTGTGTTTTTGAAAAAGATCCATATTATTGAGAGAAAAAATAAAGTAAATATAAATGGGGATTGAATAATATCTTGGTCTCATGAATGCATTAAACACATGATAACTTTTTCTTCTCCTCAGTCTGAGCTAAGATATAAAATAACATAGCACACATTGTTTTTCTGATTTACAGCTTGCTAAAATGTCAGCTTAGTTTAAACTGCCACATTGGTCCTTCAAATTCTTGTCCTGAACTCTAAAGACACACCATGTGTGCTAGCCTTCGAAGACTCCATCACACTAAGACAGCCACAGCCTGGCTTTGCTTTTCTTTGGATCATCTAAACAGGAGTTTGAGAATATCTATCTGTGTGTCACTTCTTCTCATTTCTCTAACTTTAAAGTCAGACTAAACTTGCATTTATAGAACTGTACATACATTCATTGTAAATAAGCTAAATAATAGTTTATAACTGGAGATAAGATCAATCACAAAAGCTCAACTTTCCTTTCCTGAAAAAAAAGAAGAGAATGTCCCAGTGTTGTCTGGAAGAGCAAGGCCAAGCCCTGCCAATAGGCTTGGCTGTGGTCACTTGTGGGAGTTGTCAAGGGCTGGGTCTGTATGTTTTGTTGCTGTAATTTCAGATTACTGTTGGATTTTCTTTGTACCATTGGTGGCTTTGAGACTACCTGTAAGAGAGTCTGCAGGGGGACATGCAATTGGGTGAGGGTGCCAGAGCTGCCAAAGAGTCTGGGTTGTTGCTCTTGTGGAGACAAGCATTGAGCACTTAATTTCCCTATATTCCTCAGTTTTATCTTGTCTTCGTTTTCACCAGTTGTATACATCATCTTTTTGCAAATGGAGCTCACTCACAGAGTTCCTGCTTTCCCAAGGTGGACTTCTGGTACAGCTGCTTGTTTTCCTGCAGCAGTGCAGACCATGCCTGTGCTGGGAGGAGGCTGCTCCCTGAGACCTGCCAGCTCTCCTGGCTCTACATGGCTGCCTGCAACTGCAGCCTGCTTACCAGTACTGTGAGTAAGACCCAGATGTGTGGTGGAGGCTTTTTATTTATGAAATGCATTTTTTGTTGTTGCTGTTATTGTGCTGTAAGCTTTTTAATTATTATTTCAAAAATTTGTCTCAATTGAAAACAAAAGTATGACAAAAGAGCTTTAGTGAAGTCAAAATATTTTGGACTGATTGTTAAATTCAGAGCAATATGATCCACAAAACGACATTTCTCCCAATCCAGGGGATTGAATACATGATTTTTGTCTTGATATTCCCATTTTTGCTGAAGGAGCTAGAGCGTATTTCATTTAGGATTGGCACAAAGCAGATGTTTTCATTTGGCTATCATCCTCTTTGTCCAGGTTTATTTGCTTGATAATTTCAAAATGATCTAAGTACTGAAAGTCTGAAGGTTAGCCTGCTTTGTCTGTGGCTCAGTTTCAGCTTCCACTCTTTTTCAAAAATTTGGATATTGGTTTTCAATAGGAAGAGGATAAGTTCTAAATCATAAAACTAAATAATCCTCCAAACTGCTGGGAATTCAGATTGCCAAGCTGATTTCAATCTGAAGTTTCATAAATGTCAACAGTGTTCCTTGGGCAATGAAGCAGAATGAAAGCAGAAGAGTTAAATAGGAAGAGGAACTGTCTTAATTATAAGAGATGGAGAACTGCCTTAATTACCTTTTTTTTTTTTTTTTTTTTTTTTTTTTAAAGGAGAAATTTAATTCAGGAGCACTTGGTTGTTTCATATCTTAGCCTTTTAATCTGATGCTTTGGTCAGATGGATAGACTGTTGATTAAACAGCATAGATGTTATTATGTGACTGCAAAAATGCCAGGAAGTTGTCCCATTTGCACTGATAATTTATAAGTAATCTAGAAATATGCTTTGAGGCAGTGACTTCATCTAAAAAGAATTAACAGTTCAAAGTGTATTAGTGCACGCCTGCTGAATATGGCTTGGCATTATTAAGGGTTTCTTCACCAGCATTAATTGGATTAAATTACCTACAGTGAAATATGAACCCTTTGAGGAAAAGCAGTTATTGTGCTGGCTTCAGAAACATAAAGGAGTGTGGGAGAAAAGGGAGAAAAAACCAAATGTCAGTGTTTAGATAAGCTTTGTTTTAAAGCAGAATACAATGATTTTGAGTAACCTGTGAGTGTGTGATTGCTGTGGTGAGTGTGCAGTGAGAAGTTGAAGCTGTGTCTGGGGGCAGTGAGCAGCAGTGGGACTGGAAAGGCTTTGCTCTCAGGAGAGCAGAGTCCCAGCTGGAGCAGGGAGGATCTCCAGCAAGGAGATCTCTTAGACCCCACAAGCCACCCCCAAAGGAGAGCAGGGACAAGCACCTGGGCTGGGGACTGGACAGTGAGAGACCTTATGAGCAATGTGCCCACAGGTTCAGGATTAACCACTGCCTGCAGTAAGGAGCATTGGTGAGATGGGGGACTCACTTGTGGGTATGCATCTACAGTTCTCCTGTTTGCAGTTATTAATACTGTAAAGTTTACTGAAAAGTGGTTTATGCAAAATGAGTGACTTGATTATTTGAACTTGGATCTTCTGGATGTACAAGCAGTATCTTCTAAAATATCCTGTCTTTGGATTCCTGTGTTTTGTTTTGTTTTGTTTTCTGTTTGTTGTTTGTTTGTTTTAACGAGTAAAATTTCTGTCTGTATTTGTTGTTCATCCTTAATGCCTTGCTTCATCAATGAAGAGGGACAAACCCCAGACAACACTGTTCTGGTGCCTCTTTGATTGCCATTTAGGAAAAGAGAGCTATGAACTCTGTTTCACAGTGCAATGTGCAAGAAGAGCGAAAAGATGAAAAAGAAATATTTTTCTTTTTATTAAACCATCCCCACCATAGCAACAGTAGTAAGAACAGTTGGAGTGACCCGAGTAGTAAGTTTTTACTCGATCTCCAACCAGAATATAACCCTTTGGCAAACAGATATTGCTAGGCTAAGATGCTGGATATGAACAGATCTAATTTCTCAGCAGCTGGCTTAGAATGCAGTATTGACAGGAGTTCCATGGCCTATCCGTCAATTCATAACAACTTCCTTCATTGCATAGCTGTCTTATTTCATAACAATGCTTGCAAGATCAAATAATTCTGGCAACCTCCACCACAACTTTTTTGAGCTTTGTGAATGACGGCTTTGTGAGTCTTCTGCATGCATTGGCCAGTGTAGGAAATGCTGCAAGTCTGTACATCCCAAAGATGCGTGGTATTCAGTGACTGGCAATGGGAAGGGCAGGATGTAGAAAGGAGGTTATGAAAAACAACTAACTAATAGTGAAAGTGGCCTGGTGAGTGAGAATTTCATCTTCAAAACGCTCCTTGATTCCCACTGATCCCTTCTGTTAAGCACTGGAATATGCTCCTTAGGGAGGTGGTTGAGTCACCATCCCTGAGTGTGTTTAAGAACCATTTGGATGTGGTGCTCAGCGACATGATTTACCATGTTGTGTTGTTGGAGTTAGAGTAGTTAGTTTGGTTAGATTGTGGTTGGACTTGATGATCTTTAAGGTCTTTTCCAACCTGAGCAATTCTGTGATTCTATGATCTGAAATACTGAATAATGCACGTTAGACCAGTACAGTGATAAACAAAAGGAGATGAATTTGCCATATGTACATAGCATCATTTTGAAACGAATGTTCTTTTAACCTTTAGATAAATGAAATCATATTAAACTATTTGTTTTACTGAAGGGCATTGCTAAAGAGACCAGCATGGTGGTAGCTGAGCACTCGAAGTGTTTCTTCACTTATCATCACAGTTACTTAATTGGATATGTGTTGATTATTGTAGGGCACCCTTAACACGTACTGTGCTAGGAAGCATTAATTTATTTGCATGTTTTACATCTGAACAACTGTTTCCCAGGGAACTAAGTGCTGCTTGTATGCGTTTGAAAGAGAGGGAGCCCGGAGGCCAGGCTGAACCGAGCTTGTCTCCTGCTGGATGCAGGCTGCACTCCCCTTGTTAGAACTTCTATGAGATTCTGCTTTCAGCTGCTTGTAACTTCATTAAACTCGAATAACTGAAAATTCTCCAAGTGATGAATTTGGAAAAACCTTCCCATATTTTGGAGTGAACAAGGGCCTTCAGCATATCAGCCTCAGGCTCAGGCAGAATGATTCCTACACCTACTCTCTTAGCCTTTAAAATTCAAACCTTGCTTTATAGTGGCAATACTAATCTGATCTCTAAGAGAAAAGAAGCTGTTCTGTTCCTACAAAGTATGATAAATTTCCAAAGGGTCCATATTCAAGGAAGAGAGTATTTCTGTTGGAAATACATCACAGTACTCTTTGAATAAAGAGTTTTTTGGGAATGGGGGCCAGTATGGGCAATAAAAATATTTCCATTTATTTATTTATTTATTCGTTTATTCCTTCATGGAAAAAATATGTCTGATATGAACTAACACAAATTTTAACTATTCTATTTTCAGGGATAAAGCATCTGAAGAGTCAGAGTGATTCAGCGTTCCCAGAGGAGGAAGAGGGAATCGGTGAAAGAGAAGAGGAATGGGACCACTAAGCCATGCAAGTCTGCTTGGGGGCCAGGTACCGCGATGTGACACTGCGTGTGTGTCCCACTATTCACCACCACTTATGTTCCCACACAGCAGGGTGTGCTGGGGGCACACCTTGACTGGGCTTTATGGCCACCTGCAAATCCGTTCTTTGAGCCTTATACCCAGAGATAAAATGGTTGTTTTAACGTTACTCTTCTTTCGTTTTCTATGACGTAGAAATGTCGTTGCAAACATGGTAGATCTGATGGCAGTACTGCCAAAGCTTAACTTCTGCGTGTGAGCTGTGTTCTAAGACCTGTTGTAAATAAATCCCATCTAAGAGCTACAAAATAAATAATATGTTCTTTAGACAAGACTGTATGTTGTACCGTGGGTTTGTCTAGCTTGTGGAGGAGTGTTTGTATAGAATGACCCCATCAGTTAAGGGCTGCTTTTACCAGTAATGTTAGAGTGACCTGCAGACAGGAACAAAATAAGCAGAAGTGCCTCTTCAGTCCAATGGAGAAGTATGCAAAGATGTTCTTTGGTGTCTCCCAGGTACACAACAGTTAAAATACTTTTCTGGCTTTAAGATTAACTGTACTGTTGTATTAGCTAAGTTTGATACAAAGACTTAACTTTCCACTGACTTTAGTCAATCTCAGAGAGCTGAGGTAGCAAAAAAAAAAAAAAAAAAAATTTCCCCGGGCATATGAAAACACAGAACCTTCTGTCTATGCCTTGCATGATGATTTCATTCACAGCTTGAGCTCTTCCATGCAGACTCGCCGAGAAAGGGATCTGTTAACAAGTGTTCCTTTATAGTTGGGAGCCATCTTGTTGCCCTCCATCTGCACTGCAGTATCTGTCCTCTTTGTCACCATTATTGCATTCAGCTTCTGTGACTCTAGCTCTGTTCAGCTGCACAGGAAGAACTAAAAGGACTCTTCGATTGGGCAGGAACAGCTACAGGGCTGAGGCCTTTTTGTGCTACAAACAAGGAAAGCAGGGAAGTGACCCTTCATAAAACATCTGAACAGGCCAAAGTCAAGAGTGGAATGGTATCAAGAGGAGCTGGGCTCTGCTCCCAGCTTTGTCACGACTTTGATTTTGCACTGTGCCAGGCTCTTCACTTAACCCTGGCTGCGGCAGTAAAATGGTGACCAATACAGAGGCATTCTGTTACTGGCTGATAAAACAATTTGTATTAATTTTTGCTGGTTATTAGTACCCAGAGGCTCCACGTAAGAGGTATCTATGGGCCAAAGGAATAAAACACGCAGAAGTTGTAATAGACAATACAAACACAAGGCACTTTGGGACTTCAGTGTTTCAGAGGCAGCACAGAACACCTGATAAGTATATAGAGAATTCATTACAAATAGCTTGTTTCAGGATCACTGTTGGACTGAAGGATGATTACACTTTATGAATTGGATTTATAAATTAGATTCCATTTGAACCAGATCTGAACGCATTGCAGAGCTGTTATGCAGTGATGAGAGAACAAGAAGCCTGTTTAACAACCCTTATCTGGATGAAGCTCCGTAGTTTGATAAGGGCCTCAGATAGCCACGCCTCATTTTGAATGCTTTTCTAAATGCAGATCTCTTATCACATCCCTCATCTCTAAATATTCCAGCTGTGTTATATCATTTTAAAAGCCTATTGCTTTCTATCTGTCCTGACCCAGGGTTATGCACACAGCACGTCTGAGTGTAGGAACAGACTGATCATTTTTGGTGAAGTGACAGGACTTGTTCCTCAGAAGATTCTGTGGGTCCACGTCACCATTTGCTGGTGTTAACCTCACCTAAAGGATATGGATAGAATGCACATTTTTCTGTATGACAACAATTTTAAATCAAAGAATTAAGCAAACTGTCTGATCTTCCACTTGAGAGGTATACCATAAGGATGGCTACAAGGAAAGAGGGAATAAAACATCAGAGCCCAGAAAAACAGAAGAATACCCAGCTAAGTGCTTACCATGGAGCAGAGCTGTAGAACTGCAGTGACTTATCATTGAACCCCAGGACAGAAATGTCCAGGAAGACAGAAAATGTGATCACATGGCATGTGTGGGACAACGGGTGGATCAGGTACAGCTAGCATGGGTTCATGAAAGGAAGGTCTTGCTTGACCAACCTGATGTCCTATGATTGACCCGTTTGGTAGATGAGGGAAAGGCTGCTCACATAGGTCTACCTAGAGTTCAGCAAAGCCTTTCACACTGTCTGCCACTGTGTTCTCCTAGAGAAACTGGCTGCCCATGGTTTGGACAGGTACACTTTTTGCTGGGTAAGGAACCAGCTGTGGTGGTGAGTGGAGATAAATCCAACTGGCAACTTGTCACAAGTGGTGTTCCTTATGAATCAATATTGGAGCCTGTCCTGTTTAATATCTTTATTGATGACCTGGATGAGGGGTTGGAGTGCACCCTCAGTAAACTTGCAGATGACACCAAACTGTCAATCTGCCTGAGGGTAGGAAGGCCCTACAGAAGGATGTGGACAGGCTGGATCACTAGACTGAGAGCACAAAAGGTATGAGGAGAGGCTGAGGGAGCTGGGATTATTTGGTCTGGACAAGAGGAGGCTCGTGGGAGACATTATCGCTCTCTACAACTACCCGGAAAGAGTTTGTGGCGAGCAGGGGATTGGCTTCTTCTCTCAGGTAACAGCAATAGGACGAAGGGGAATGACCTTAAGTTGTGCTGGAGGATGGTCAGGTAGGATACTGGAAAGAATTTCTTAACAGAGAGCTTCTCCTACACTTTGGGTGCAATTGAAAGCTCTGGCTATCTCGCAGTACGATCAGCTTTGTAGAGTCTTAAATAAACCATGCAGATCTCTTTGCAATGGTGCAAAATACTGTATGCAGTCAAAATGGACAACAGAGATAGCTTTGATCTGTTTCTAACAATGCAGAGAGACTGGCAAGGGGAAGGAAGAAAATTATTAAAATAAAGAGCACCTGGGCAATCCTTCACCTATGCCATAGGGATTCATTTCTTTAGAGTAGCAATTTTTTGAGTATTTTTTGTAGTTTACTTTTAAATACTCTAGAAAATTTAATATTGTTTAAAATCTGCTTTTCAAAACAAAACAGGATGTTGTTGGGCTATTTTCCTACGGAAATCTTTGTTCACCCTCCATCAATGTTGTTTCCATGTTATTATTACTCGGTTTGACCTGCCTGAGAAAAGTCAGATGGTGGCACTGCTGGAGAGCTGAGAACTGGAGTTGATGGATCAGGTAGAACACAGCAAGTTCCTTGAGCACCTTTCAAGATGCTAAATATTAACCATCACTATAAACATTTCTACTCTTTCACTTGCTCAGAAACACAGATGATTTCTGCATGCTTGTGGTGTGAGAGTTGACAAAAGAAAATTCAAGTAACGCTTTTAGAGATGGATTGTATTAGCCCATATTCCGTGATTGAACTGATGGAGAAAGAAAGAAGAGGTTGAAAAAAAAAAAGAAGGCAAGTAATGAATATAATTCTTTTTTTAATGAGCAACTCATTCGTTGTTTTTCTTCTCATCTCTCATCATGTTCTTATGTCTATGGCCTTTCCGTGCTGCTGTTCTTCCTTTCAAGATATTGCAGGAAGTGACATTTGCAGAATGATGGCTACAGCAAGATTTGAAAGAAAACTGTCTCTTTGGACTGATTTCAGCTTTTTCCCAGAATCCCACAGCTCATTAATGTACAGCAATTTAAAGGAGCTTTGTTATTGCATTTTACAGCCTTATTTCTTTTTTCTTGTGTTATACTTGTTGTTCCATGACAGATTCTTCACTTTGATTTATTGAGACATTGTGCTAATAAGTTTGTTGGAAAAATTCCACGACTTGACTTACAGGATGGTATGTGTTGTTTATTCTCCAGGTGCAAAAGCAGATAATACTTAAGTAGATACAAAGTAAGAGCCAAGATTTAAAAGTCATTTCTGAAGTGTAATTTCCACTGAAGTCAGAGGAACTGTGTTCAAAAATGACCACAGGTTTTGGCTGACAGTGTCCTTTCTTTTGGAAAAGTATGGTGTGCTGTGTACAGAAAACTTCCTGTCATCCTACTGTCAGTTTAAGTACTAAATCTCTTGCAGTATTTTAAGAACTACCCCAGTCTTCTGAAAGTGTTGTTAGTTGTCTGCAATGATGTGAACTGGAAAAGGCTCTGATTAGCTACTTTGCTAGACAAAAATTACCACTCATTATTCTGCTGCTGATGCTACTGAACCTATATCTACACATCTAGCATGACAAGGCAGGGCTGCTCTCTGGAGAAGGGGTATCTGTCTGCCTGGCCTGGGTAGGCTCCAGTGCTGCTGTTGGGTGGGAAGGGACTGACGTGTGGCCCTGCATGCTCTAGCGCCTCCACTGTGCAAGTTTGGTGCCTGGTACCATGCAAATGAGTTCGGTGCAAGCCCAGCTCAATGCAGATTTCTCCTCTTCCCCCTATCGCCCCCCCTTTCTCACTCATCTCTCCCCCTCTATTGCCCCCCTCTCTACCTTCCTCTCTCCCACCTCTCCTCTCCTCTCTTCTCTTCTCCGCAGCTTTCCTTTTCCCTTTCCCTTTCATTCTCTTTCTCTTACACAGGTGAGACAGAGGCTTTCTATGTGAGGTCTTATTGCTGAGGAACATGAGGAGATTGTACTTTCTGCTGGCAGGTTTGTAGAAGGCAGAGCTGCAGGTGGCATGTGAAACTCAGCACTAAGTTGGCCATGCACTGGATGGATAGCTGACACCTTCTCCACTGCTGGTTTCATAGGGATTACATTCTCTGTTTGTGTGTGTATGGCTGTTACCTTATTCCTTTCTCTCCTTTAGCTGCTCAGCACGATGGTGAGTTGCAATAGGAGTCTCAGCTGCTCTGTAAGTTCATCACACATGCAATTACATTTGACCTTTCCACAGCGAGCGTGGCATTTGGCAATTGAGTTGATGTTCAGCATCTCTTGTGCTGTGTTCTCATTGCTCTCCCCAGTGAGACAGCAGGGCCATCCCCAGCAGCAGCACATTGGGCAGATATCAGGCAAGGCATCTGTGCCCCTTCACTGGGCCTCAGGCCGCTTGGTGACACGATGCTGGTCTCCAGACATAGTAGAGCTGGCTGATGGAGTCTGTGTGTGTTCATTGCCGACAGCAGGGGCATTTCTGCTATAGGCTTGGATGGTTCTGGTAGCTTCCAAAGTAGTCTGTGCTTTCTACAAATATATCCAGTGCTCCTGCTAGGAGAAACTGACTCTGTTTTAGTCTTGTAATGATGCATTTTCTTGGTATATACTGACCCTTAGTGGTGAGCTGAAATTACAATTGCGTTGCCACATTTCTAAATTTTTCTTTTCTCTTTGGCCCAACTGTTCAGAAAATGGCAGGGATATTTGCTGTGCATCAGGACTGTCTAACTATTTAAATAGCCCCGTTGTCTTTGACAGACATAATGGGCATCCTAAAATAATGACGACAGGTGTTACTCGCTCTTCTGAAGGGAGGGCTGGGGAGCAGCAGTGTCGAAAGGTTATTCCAAAGTGCAAAACAAAAACCTTGGCATTGAGAAGCAATACTCTCCACATAATGAGAAACAAATAAGAACTCAGTATCTGGCACTAACGAACACCTCAAGCTAACAGTGGAGTGAGTATTAATTAGGTTTCCAAAATAGCATCTTTCTGAAAAGCAGCTGAGGTGTAATATTGCTCCTTATTAATCAAAGCAATGGGACAATGTGAACTCTGCAAAAAATAAATGGTTTGCAGATGGCTGTGTGCATCTTTAATAATCAGAAGAACACAAGTTAGAGCTTTAAATGCCAGAGAGTCTTTCTGCATCTTCTCCCTTTCAGAGAGCGATATTTGCAGTTTTCAAGGCAGTGAGGAAAGTGTGTTGGTTTCTTATTACATTTTCCCTGCAGCATAAATTCTATTGATGTGCTTCCCTAATCATGCTAATTATACTGCCATATGTTGCTCTCATCTTTCTTTTTCTCTCCTAATGGGACATAGATTCTCTCTTTTGAATATGTCATTTGTTTATTGCATTTATCAGGGGCTTTAACATTATATGGGACTTTTAATTGCTTTTTTAAACACTCTGCAGATTGAATATTAAAAACAGACATGAAGGTCAATTATAAATAATATTTAAATTGCTCATGACATTTTTATTCTCTAATTTGCTGGGAATATCAACTCTGTAGCCCTGGTCTCACGCCCATTATTTGCTTGTGAACACACACATGTCCATCAGAACTACCTATGGCTGCAGTCACAGCTCTGTCCTACTCCAAACCACCTTGCAACTAGCCGAATAGGAGTCTTCCTCATACAGAAATGCTGAAAAAAAAGATGCATCAACTATTAAGCCACAATGCTCACCATAAATTCACCGCTATTCATTCCAGTGAATTGGAGTGCCTCAAGAAATAGATGTAAATTTTCATTTTTGACTGGAAAGAATAACATAACTCTCAGAGGAGAGGGAAGAATTGAAGAAAGGGAAGAATAATTTCAATAGAAGAATTAAAAACAACTAAAATTTCGGTAAAACAGCTGAAAACAGAGAAATTAACAATAGCTAATTACAAGTTCTCCAATAGTAATCAATCCTTATGTAAGAAGTGTTGGTGACAGACTTCCCTATCTTTTTGAGGTTAGGCTTTGGGGTGTGGCATTTTTGATTGGCTGGTTGTTCTTTGGTTCATTGAGGCTTTTTTGTTTGTTTTGTGTTTGTTGTTGGTGTTTTTTTGCAAACTTTAATTTGCCTCAACAACTTAATTACTTAAATAACTGACAGTTTACTAAACACCAAAACTTGCTTCCCTTCCTCCTGACTGAAGAGCTGAGCTATACACCCTCCACTCTTGTTGGAGTAGTGCCTTTGCTGCTCTGTAAGAATGGGCTGTAGGAAAAGGACTTGCCTGAGCAGAAGGGAAGTGGGTTTTGCAGCACAGTGTTGTTTTTTTTTTTTTCCCCTCTACACTTATTACTCCGTGAGTAGCCTCTTCATTCCCAGGGGAATGTTTAGAAGCTCAGAGTTCTGTACAACTTCTAAATCTTTGTCCTGCTACATAGACAAGAGGTCTCTTGAGACCCACTAAATAATTAAATGATCAGGAAAGCAAAACTATCCCAGGGACACTGCCTAAACTTTTCTGAGAGATGACACTTTCTTTTCTTTACATTATTAAATGTCATTTCTACTCAATTTTTAGGATTTTTTAGGTTTTGAAGGATTTGATTTTTCAAAAAACAATCTACAATTGGATACACTCCTCTCTAAAACAAATCTTGTCTAAACTATCATAATGTTAAGTCTTTTTAATCTGCTATTGAAGAACGTTAATATTATATTTTACTCTTTCTCATATGTAGTCAATTGAAAACATCTATTCCATACATTTCCACTAGGGAACTTGATTACTTTGTTAATTTGATGTCTTAGTAGCAGCTTGTTTGTCTTCTGGCTTACATGCAACAGATGAAAGTCACCCAAGCATATAGCTGAAGAGAGCTGAATGGAGCTGCAAAGAACTAGATATGGCAGAGTTGTTCTTCATTTATTGCTATCATGCACCTTGTTAGAGCATAATTCAAGTCAATAGGATTCTTTCCATTGATTTCCAGTTGTAGTAGGTTGAGGCCCTGCTCCACTGAACTTTGCTAATTAAGCCTGGACCATGCCATAGAGGTGCCTCTGAAAACAGAACCCATTCTGAAGAATCAGTGCTGGCCTGCATAGTACCAGCAATTTTAACAGTGCCAGCCTCTGGTAAAAAGATTTGGGAAACAATACTCTTTATTGGTTATGATTTCCTTCATATGATGGCTGACAGAGTAGTAAAGGTTAAAAAGGTAAAGCACACTGAGAGAAAGTATCATCAAGGGAGTCACAAGGATGCAAGTGAGTTGGTGCAGCATAGTGGCACAGCCATGGACAAAGCACGGAGTGACAGGCAGGAAAAGGGCACAGGAACAGCCAGCTGCGCTCTGCCACTTTTCAGAGACAACTGTATGCAAATAAGCAAATGCTTCAGTCAAGCAGATTTGTAACTAACACTCAGGAGCTTCATGATCTTTGCCCTCAAATCAAATTTATTTAAGAATATCATCATAGGAAATACGGACAAATACAGCAGAATCAAAACACACAGTTGTAGATTGCTTGTTGAAAATTAAATAAAAAAAATACTGGCTAGATCATAAACCATAACAATATTACATAATATATTTATCAGATATCTCAAGATAAAAGTACAAAATAAAAATTTTGAGGGCTAATCTAAAGCTACAGCTCCTCAGTGTGCTCAATGCAGGGGTACATGCCCATAATGCTGTGGGAGAGATGCAGATATAAACACCAGTTCTTATGGCCCCATGCAATGCTTTGGTAGTGCAGCCTTCTGGGGTTTGGAGAAAGTCCTGCCCAGGAGAGGCCCCCCACAGGAAGCTGCTCTGCCATCTGAGTGTGAATTCCACACAAGATCAAAGCCTTAACTGACACACAACGATTATGGTCTCCTCAGCCAAACTAAATTTTCCTCATCCAAACAACACGCTAAGCTTTGGGTCACGTCTGGAAAAAAACCTTGCTAAGAATAAAGGAAGAAAGAAAGAGAGTTAGCTGGCTTTAAAGGAAAACTAAGGACTCTTCTATTTCAGTAACACCTACCACAGTGATTAAGACTGTGTAAAAATGAAGAAGTAGAATTGTTTGTACATTTCTGTATGAATGAAGAGTTGAGCAGGCACTGAGTGCCTTCTATGAGCTCAGGAGCTCCTCCTACCTTCTGAAGGACAACAGGACACCAAAAGCCCCACAGGATGCTCCCAGCGTTCTGCAAATTCTGTTTGTATTTCCAGAAGAAGATTTTCATGTAGTATATCAATCACATAAAGAAAAAGTCAAGTTCAGCTATGGTAGAAGTCTGAAATTGAAAGTAAATACAAACATTAAATTTGGATGGCTCCAAAGTTTTGGTCTCAGGGAATGATAAATCACAATGCTGATGAATGCACTGTTACAGACAAAGACATAGCTGGCCTAATTTTTAAATATCTTTCTCAATTTTTGCACTTTTAAAATTTGGCCGGAACTGCAGATGCTCAACATATCTGAAATAAGATCCCTTGTTTGGAAAGAAAAGAGATAAGACCAAAGATATCAGATCTTAAACAGGAAAGTTTTCTACTGTCACAGCATATGGCAATTTGCAATGAAAAAAAAGTGATATACATGATGTCTCTTTTTTGGTGCAACAACAATAAGAAATATTTCATTATAAAGAAAAAAATGTGTCCAACATTCCCCATAATGGATTCAGAGGTGCACGGAGTGATCCAGGCTACTAAGGATTTGCTCGAACACTGCCATAATATATAAATTCTTAATTCTTAGCAAAAAATATCAATTGCATTATAACATATATGATACAATTTCATTTGTTAACATTTCATTCTTCAGCTGCACTGTACAGAACTTTGTCCATGCCAAATACAAGCCCTGGACCAGATACACAAGACAATTTAAATGCACTTTTTACAACCTATATGCACAAACATTTCTTAAGTTAAAACTACACACTCTAACTGTGCATAGTGTGTATATGGCTTACATATTCAACGACAGAAATTCCACCTTTTGGCATGCCCTTATTCCAGGGCTCAGAGCTCATATTGTTCCCAGCTCAATTGCAATGATCTGCTGTCAGAAAGGAGACAGTCAAAGGAAGAGAGAAGCACGTGCCCCTACGTGTGGGGTGGCTGGTTTACTGTTCCTTCTTCAGCCAGGACAAAGCGCATTCTCTGGAGGCTGAGCCTGTGGTACATGGGAGCTCTAATTAGGTTCCTGAAGCAGTGGATAAGCACCCAGGGCTCTGCAAAGCAGGGAGGAATGCTGCCCCACAAGCGTGCCACCTCTGTGTGGCCCATGGCGGACTGCAGTCTTGGTCATATTGAGGTAATACAGGATCCAAAAAATGGAACGCAGTGACCCAAATTAACCAGGAGAGTAAAAGGTGAAGGGAGAGAGGAATGTTCCTTGTTGGCTGCAACAGAGGGAAGTGAGGTTGGGTGCAGGCTGCACGAGGTCCCATGAGGCTCAGCAGGAGCAGAGATGAACGTGGAGCCTCTTCTGGGCACAGCTGGGCTGCAGGGCTCATTCCAAGATATCCGGCAGAGGTAAGTGCCTGTGTGCTCCACTTGTGCTGCCTCTCAGAAAAAGATGCTCTGGTGTTTGAACAAAGCAAAGGGAGGTCTTTGTCGGATCCATGCTGTCACCTTTTCATTTGAGCAAACTCATTATATAAGGCCTCAATATTACCTTCCAGTTGTGTCTGAGAGGCAACACTATGCGTTGCTGGAGGGCAGCAATTTTTGTGTATTTGTGTAGCAGCCTCATTCGCCTGTGAAATCATAAGCACCAGCTTCGTAGTAGGGCTGACACCAGTGCTGACATATGATAAACACTGTAGAGCTGAGTATGTTTGAATCATAATACTGGGTGATATTTCCAATACTGATTTGTTAAACACCATCTCCCTCCCTGTGGCAGACATGGGAAAGAGTCATTATTCATGCAGGATAGATAGTACAACTCTATGACTTCCTGCCCAGTCCACATACTTACATTTCCAGATATTTTAAGGAAGCTAACAAGTAGAACTTTCATGTTGCATGCAGCGTGGTTGCATGAACAAGTGTCTGTAACAGTATTTTGTTTTGGCTTTCCATTTCCATTAGATGCCAGTGGCAGTGACACGGAACAGCAATCCAGTGCAGATGATCTTTAACATGTTTTCACATGTCTCTTGGAAACAGCTGGTGTCAGTGATGCAACAAAGCAAGGTCCAACTTTGGCTGGAAAAATTATTTTGGCCAGTTGTAGAAAGCAGAATAGAAAAGGGAAAAGCAACAACAAATATGACAAAGTCTTGAGAGTTGTTCGGTGCGTTGAGTTCCCAGCTCAGGGTTTGATGTTTTACACTTTTGATCCTTCTGCCCAGTCTCCACTGAAACAAGATGATCTGAGAGTAAGTTGACAGACAACAGCCTCTGAGAGCATGGAGGTAGGAACAGTGTTCTTTTCTTCTGCAACAGAGTTCAAGTAAAAATTCATAAACAATATTGTTATACTATTACCACATATTTCTAGTATTCAGTATACTTGACTTGAGGATGTTTTATTGAATGGTTATTTTGTCTCACATTAAGAATTCAGATACACAGTATTGTTTTTCCCTTCCGTTATGGTGAATTGACTTCAAAAGGGACATAAAAAGTGGGTTGCAACATGCTCCAGGCACAATGTTTTGTAATAAACCCACAACAAGGATAGAACAAAGAGAATAATAATAGCAATGAGCCAGTCTTCATGGTACAAAACTATCACCATTATAAGAAAGAAATGACAGAAGTACCTGTCCTGCCAGAAACGTCAGAAGCTTTTAAGAAACAGTAAATCTAGTTGTGTACCAGTGCTTGATTCTGTTCCGTGGCTTTTACTATATCTTCTGCTTGCTTACAGTGTGTAGGCTCACCTGGAAGAAAGAAAAAGTGTTATTAAGAACTTGAGTGAGGAAGCGAAAGAAATTTATAGCATCTGCAGAGCTCTAGACGGGCAGTAATGTCCTTCCGCTTTCTTTTACTAAGGTTGCAGTGAGGTTCATTCACAGTTTTCTTTAACTGTTTTCTCAGCATAGAAAGTACTGGATTTAATTGACTAATTGCTGTGGTTTATCTAAAGTGCAAAAGGTAGAGTGAAAGCAATAGACTACACCGTGAGAGTGTTAATGAAGTGGGTTTTTAAAAAACTTCTAGTTTATTGAAAAAAATAACTAATCACCCTCAGCAGAGCTGTGCTGTTTAAATCCTCTTCAATGTAGGCAACCAAAATAGGCATAAATTGCTCTCAGAGAGTGGAAGATGCCAATGTCAAGTTTTAAAGATTCAATTAATTCAATCAGATAGGGAATGCGACACCTAGCAGCACAAGATTTCAAACTAGGTGACACAGTATAAATGTCAAACTTCCAATCATTAGGCAGAGCTCCTGTTTAAGCTGTTCCTTGAATAAGCACTGCTGGAAAAATTGTAAACTGATTAAGGACAGTAGACATGGGGGGGAGTGCAGCAAATTTCAGAGTGATATACCAACTATATGGTAAATGCTTAGCTTTAACTAATGGATGGAGTGATCCCACTAATACTGACTTAAAGAATGTGAAAAAGGAAAGCCACATAAGTATCAAAAGCAGAGAAAGTGAGTTGAGAGAAGGGGAAAAGTTTAGAAACAAAAATGCATATGGGGAAAATTTTTGAAAGACAAAAACAAACGTATAAGCAACTAGAAATGAAAGCAGGTGATGTGTGATTTGAAAGGGAAGCTCCAACTCACTGAAAGACTGTCTTTCATTGAGCTGAAGCTGAAGAAGAGGCTCAGAGTTTAGAAAGGAAAAAAAAAAAAAAAAAAAAAAAAAAAGAAAAGTGCAGGACAATGAACACAAGGAAAGAAAAAAAAATGAATAGCCCTGAGTTTACCACAGTATTACAGTAAACAAACAATTTCATTACTGGATTTTGTGAGTGATTTCATTGCCGGGGTACTGCCCACTCTAACACAGCACTGTGCGTTTAATCTTCGTAAAAACTAACACTGAATCCTGAGCCACATTTCACTTTCCTCACAGAAGTGCATACACTTTGTAGCAACTTCCCAATAGTTGCTGAGGGCTTCTACCCCTATCCTTTTTATTAGCACATCACCTGCTCCTTCAACATCTCCTTTCCTCTATCCTCATCCCAGAGCCTCTTTTGGGTTCCCACTGCCACCCATGTGCAGGGTGCACAATTAATGCTAACGAAGCACACAACCTCCACCCACAGCTGCTGAGTACCAATGGGATTGGCACCCAGGGCCACTGGCATTGCCACGGCACAGGTACTACTTGATGCTGTCCATGTTGCCATTAATTGAACTGGTGTGTTGTTGCTGTGAGCTTGTGCAGCTTTACCACAGGTTTCTGCTGAAGGCTCTGCATGCTCACTGCAACACACTGTGCCTGACAGTCCTCTACTGTCACCAGGGACGAATTTACCCATATCCTGCCTTACTGCAGATTTACTGTCCCCTTTTACATTCTGATACTAAGGATTAATGTGGCTATCATCATGAGCGAAAAGTTAAAAGCGTGCCAACTAGCCATTATAAATCATTGAAACACGAGGTTGTTTAATTAAACATAAGCAGTTTTTAAAATTAATGCTCCAATTAATAAATCACCCAGGAGAAAAGAAAACCACCACTTAAATAAAATCATCTTATAACAGTTCACTTAATCTTGTAACATGCAATTAAATGATAGCGAGACTGAGGAAGAGGAGCAGTGCTGTGGAAGAAGAGGCACTCAGTCCTGGCCTGAGTTCCCCCAGCAGTTCTCTCTTTGCTCTGACTGGGACATAGGGAAACAGATCCTGGTATGATGTGGTGGTAAATAACTGAGAAAGAGGAGTGATGCAAGGAGTGGAAAGCAGCACCTTTTCTCTTTTTTTTTTTCCCCCCCAAGGCATGTTCATACTGTCCAGATAAATGTACAAAGAAAACTTAAAAGATATGTATACTGCCTTTCACAGCTTGCAAGTGAAGCTGTTGAAAATACCTGCTCTTATTTTTACAAAGTGGCCTGACTGAGTCTGCTGGTCATCAACACAGGTGTAGAAGTGAGAAGCAGAGGTGCAGTGCTGTGCAGGGAAAGATCCTGCTGGGCTAAACAGTGCTGCATCATGCACAGCTCTCCCTTCTGGTCATCTTGACCACAACTTGTTTGCGAAGGTGAGGAAAGGCACAAAAGTTATTTGCTCCTATCTGACATTCATATGTTGACAGTAAGAAATGCCAGAGCCAACCCATAAGTTTCAGGTTGCTAAATAGAAAAGCACTCGTTGCACCATGTGGAGGAACAACAGATGAGAGAAGAAAAATAACATTTAAGATTAATCGTGGTTTCTGGGCAAGGCTGAATCTAGATTGAATACAGATATGTGGTGTCTTTTTCCCTTTAATTCTTCCGTTTCTCACATAGTAAGAAGTAAATTCCACCCAGGAAAACCAGCAGCAATTTGAGTTCTGATACACATTCAGCATATACAAAGGTCTCTCTGAGGTTCATTGTTTGCATCTCATAAGGGATTTTTATATGCCATTGATTTTTGAAAAATACATGCTAAGTGAGAAGTACTGTACTCTTGATGCTAGTCATGAATGGCTGATTCTCCAATCCAGTAGAATTCAACAACTGCAGTATTAGACACCAACAACCTCCGCACACACTGCAGCAAGAAAAACCATGCAAAACCATCAGTGTTATTGTTGTTGTCTAAATAAGCATGACAGTTCAAGGAAAGTCCTTCCACTTACAAGAATTACATTTCACTAACATAGAAGAAATATGAAACATTGTAACCTGACAATTCCCTTTGGTACTGGATATTGCCAGCTATTTCAATACTGAGCTCCTGCTTTGTCTCTCTTTTCTTTTGCTGCAACATGGTGGCACTATTGATGCAGAGGTACTTAAAGCTGCTGCTGAACCTCAGTTTTAATTCATTTTGTCTCAGAGAGCCAGGACCTGTGCTTTGTAGTAAGTATGATGCCCCAGCCTCTAGCAGTACGTTGGTTTAATGCAGGTACAACAAGAGCCCACATGTATATATGTCAGTGAAATAGCAAAATGGCTGCCCTTCTGTCCTTAGAAAAGAGGGTCTGAAGAATATGATGACAGTCTTTCTGTAAGTCATTTCAAAAGACCAGAAAGTATTCAAAATAGTTTCCTACGACATTTAAATTTGGAGAAAATTGAGAAAATGCAAGAATGAAATGTTATTAAAGTATAAATCAAACAATTCAATGTAATAAAAACAGAACATAAATGGCATGGTGGCAGACCAATAAAACCCTGCAGCGGCAGAAAGCTCAATGGAGATGGACAAAAGCAATGTAACATCAAGTATCTTCAGATAAGTAAATCTGATATCAAGCATTACACCCTCTACAGAGAATACCTAAAAGAACACATTCAGTGGGTGGTCAGCTCAAACATTAACATGGAACAGAAACCAGTCAAAACATCAAGCTCTCCACTTTCCTGTGATTTCTCTCTACTGGAATACAAACACGAAGAAGGAGATGGCTAACAGCAAATTCAACATACTGCAGAGGACAGACATTTCACAGAAATATCTATTATAAAAAATGACAGCAAAAGACCTACAAATATCAGATGCCTTTTAAAACCAAAACCAAATCAATGCCCTTCTTCTATGCATTGTAGTACTCAATTAAATATCTGCAACAGCGTAAATGAGAAAACAGCTCTTCAGCAAAAGGAGAAGTCCAGCCTCATCTTGCCATTTTCTGGCTGGTGGAACTAGGAGTTACTAATGACGGAGTCCACAAAAAGTTCATGAAAGTAAAAAATACCATTTAGGCTTAAGTTGGTTGACCAAGGATGTACAAGTCCATTAGAAAGAATTAAAAAAAGTGCAAGATGTGAAGAACTGGGAACACAGATATTCTCTAAACAACAGTATCATTCCCTACAATGACTGCATTCATTAACGAACTACAGCTGAAACATAGTTTGGAAACTATTCATAAGAACTTGCTATAGCTGGGAATATGTTCTGTTAACAGCATGAGCAGCAGCCCCTACTTCTCACTCTCACCAGGAGGAAAAGGCATGGCTTATAGAACAGGGCAGTCTGAAGAAAAATCCTTCCTTTTTAGAAACAAAATTCTTCTGTTTCCAAAGATCTTATGCAGATGATTACATTTTTCTGGTACAGATGTTAAGTTTCTGTAGAGAAACGTACATTATTATACCAAAACTTTTTGTGGCTATCAGCTATAAAATCTGCTATGGCTCAGGGGTAAGCTGGGGGATCCCACTAAGTGCCAGCACACAGCTCAACCGCTGAAGCTGCCTTGAAAAATAATACACCAGTTCTACTACTGTGTAATTGATAACTTGAGGCATTATGTCTCCAGATTTATCACTCCTTCTTCCACAACTTGCTATCATCCCACAGAGCTTAGATACTGTTGCCTCTTTAGTGATACAAAGGGAGAGTGATATACCTGTAAAAGCTCTGGTTTTTCATTCAGGACATTACCAAAACTATTTGTTACCATAAAAATGACAGCTACACCACAAATGTCTTCTTCGCAGCTTGAAAGACAACAGACACAGTTTTTTTCCTACTGTACTCTACACTCAGTAGACGGGAAACTTTCTAGAGCACATAAATTTCAAAATGAGCATTAATAGAAAAAAAAAAAAAAAGTACAAAAAAATACATATCAAAGACAAAAATGTCAACTGCTAGATGTATGGGAACTACTGAGTCACAGCCTGAATCATTGATTGAGCACCTAGGGAAAGGACCTGGTCAGCTCTGAGTTGCACAGGTGAAGGCAACTCAGCTGTGTGAATCCCTCCTTGGTGAAGCTTTCCCCTGTGAACTTGGAATCTTCTGATACGGGTGAGCAATCTTCTTCCTTTCCCTTACAGCACCTTTCAGTTGTGTTGGTCTTTCCATCACCACACCTTTGTTGTAATGCCTTTCCCATTGTATTGATCTGTCCAATTGCTACACTACACAACTTCAAATGCTGTGGAATTAATTTTTGTGTAAATGTTTTGATTTAGAACCCTAAATTAACCATCTGTTATTGCTGATGGGGAAAAAAAAAAAAAAATCTGTCAACAAAAGCATGGGAGCACTGAAATGCAAATGGTGAATGTTGGACTCCAGAATGAATAAGTGGGAGTTCTCTATAAAAGGAAGTGCTCAGAAATATGCCAAGTCATATACTTGTGTCTAGTCTAAGTCATATAAGCATTTAACATCGCTGCTCACACGTTGCCATACTTCTGGCACATTACTGCAAGGCTCACTGTTAGCTCAGCATTAACGAGCTTAGTGTGATAATTGGAAGAGAGGGAAACAATACCATTATACCTTGATTATTCCTATTACCCTAATATCTCAAACATACTCTAACAATAAACTATTCGGACCATATGAAGATACTATAAAAATGCACAGTGATTTCTCTTACTTCCATAAAACCTATTCATATTGCTTGGGCATCTTGAACTGATAATGTCATATAATAAACATATACCAAATCATAACCACCTTGTGGTAAAAATATATGCGTTCTCAAAAAAAAAAAAAAAAAAATCCGACATCATACGAACGTTTTGGTTTTCTGCCTGTCCAGCAGATTACAATCAGGAGACTGATCTTTCTTGAGAGGATGATGCAGTCCCATGCCTACTACTGCTAGCAAATCACATCTATGTAAATTGATCAGTGTTAATTCCAAATTCACATTATACAGATAATGGTTTACAACACCACAGTCATCTGAAGTGCCTCAGTTAAGGGTTTGCATTTTAACTGCACAACAGGAATTACCTATAATAAGAGCAAAAGTTAAATACTTTTAACTTTTTTTGTTAATTTTGGAAGTTTACCTGATTCTTCAGTAACAAAGCGCTATTTAACTGCAAACACATCTTTAAGTTTCTTTAAAATCATTCTTCTGTTCAACTAAAAGTTTTGATATTTTATGTAAAGCACTTTCTACTAGATTCCAAATAACTAATATACGAAGATATTTGCTTATATCAAATGTCTTTAATTAATGGGTTTAGGACACTTTTGCTTCTACACACTCCTGAAGAAACTCTCTTACAACACTTTGTTTTAATATTTTACCACTGTCGAAGTTAGACAGGGAGATACCAGACACTGCTGCAGCTTCACCCTGGACAGCTTCATTAGATTGACTGGTGCTTTGTCATGAAGTATTACCATTCAGTGGGTCTGTATTCTGTGTTTCTTGCTGGGCATCGGTGAGATCTTTCTGGTTCGGATCAGAGTTAGTGCATTTTTCTGAGTTGGATGCATCACTCAGAGCAGTGTTGGAAGTGACTACTTGTAGGACGATGGGTCTGGGAGGACAGGCTGTACCATCACTTCCCTGACTACTCTCATTTTGTCTGCTTCTTGTCTCTTCCTGTAACTGTGCATCTGTGGAATTTCTGCTCTGGTCTTTTTTCTGTTCATCAACATTTTTCACAAGTTCTTCTATAAAGAGGGAACAAAACATGCGAATTAGATATGAAGGATATGCCACAGTTGTTTGATTTCAGAGTAGTGACTGAGTTGCACATGGGAACACTGTGAGCATAAACTTTCTACACAAGGACAGGTGCACTGATGAGTTAAATATAGGTCAGATCCTGATTAAGCTATTGCAACTGAACCATAGCAGTCTACTTTCTGGTTTGACCTCTAACATGTACTTCTTTATCTGGAGGCAATATGAGCAGCAGCAACAAATACACTGTATGCTAAAGGGTGGGAATAGGAGAGCCTCATACTGAAGCACCAGCTTGCCGTAATACGACTGGAAGAAGCAGAGCTCACCAGTTCTGTAATGGAGAGGGGACATGGAGAGAAGCACCATTCCAGGAAGAGGGAGGCATCGGCTCTGAAGGGAAGCCCTGAAGGGTGTTTGTCCCTCGGGCCGGAAAAACTCAGCATGGCAACTAATAGCTTAAGCCGAAACACATTTCAGAGGTCTATATGCATGCAATCCATTTCTGCTGCCTCCTTGGCTAGCAGAACATACAGAATGGGAAAGGAAAAAAATACGACAAAAAAATTGTGCTTCAGAGGTCAGCAGCAACAGGACCAAAAAAAAAGTTCACAGAAAGCTGTACTGCATGCTCCATTGCAGAGACTCTGCAATGAAAAGTACAAATGAAATGGCCAGAGTGAAAGGAGACAGAAAGTAGAGCAGCACAGGGAAGTCATACAAAGACAAACCAAGAAGATGAAGAAAACAGAGAATGGAAAAGTCACATAGGGTGAACAATCTGATTAAAAATAACCTATATTATACTTCCTGGCATCTTATAAGAAAATCAAGAAATTGGAAATTTGAGAAGTTTTGTGGTAGAACCATTAATCTTGTTATTAGAATCCATTTCATAAATTCAGAATTCAGTATCTGCATACTATTATAAAAAATACAAATTCCTCCAATTTAAAATGTGCAAGCATTGCAGACTGAACAATACTTAAAGAAGTGTTTGGGATAAAGACATTGAGAAATAGGAATACATAGCTTAAAGCAAATCTAATGTTTAAGCGAGATACGTTCATTACAGCATCTGTCATTTGAGGTATAACCTACTGGGGCTGTCTAGTCTGGGGAAAAGGAGGCTGCAGGGAGACCTTATTGCTCTCTTCCAATATCTGAAGGGTACTTACAGTGAGAGCGGGATTGGTCTCTTCTCACTGGTGACAGGATTGCTAAGTATTTGAATAGGCTCCCCAGGGAGGAGGTAGAATCAGCATCCCTGGATGTGTTTAAAAAGTGTTTGGATGTGGTGCTCAGGGACATGATTTAGCAGAGGGTTGTTAGTTAGAGTAGTATGTTTAGGTCATGGTTGGACTTTATGATCTTTAAGGTCTTTTCCAACCTGAGCAATTCTATTCTGCATACCTAAGGCTTTTGTCCCAAGAAACTCATTTACAAGCTATATTTGCTCCCATATGGCAGAGCTACAATAATCTTTCCTTAACTTTATAAGAAACCCAAGGAAATTTCATAATACAATTTTGGATGTTCAGTTGCATCAGCAAGTTGAGGAGAGGAAAGCTAAAATGTAATTACACACACATACAGAAAAGGAAAATCTGAAAAATGTAAGTTAACATAATACTTATATAAAAATATGTTAAAATTGTTTATATATCAATTTATTTAGGCTTTCTTGGAGATGTTTATTTTCTGTGCTCAGCATAAGCAAAAACTTCAGTAGGGTTTTCCTAAAGGTTTCTTTCAAGTGCCTTTGACTGTACCTTGACCTGCCTCTAGGATACTGATTTATCTAACAACGTTACTGATTTGTTGTTAGAACTGTAGTATTAACTTAGCTCACACTATGAGAGTTGGAACATAAGTATTCAGCAAATTATAGAAGAGGCTCAGACAATGAGAGAATTACTAAGATTCATGTGAGGCACTGCTGAGTTGATGCCACTGGTGTGAGAAAAGCAGACTGGCAGGAAGGCTGGACAGGAGCAGAGCAGAGCCTCTGGCTCCATTTGACCAATTTGGGCAGGGGACTTCACCCCACACTGCACTTCTAGGAAGAGCAACTTCCTGCTCCTCCATGGGCACACTTTGCTATGGCCAACCAGGGATGGAAATGGGGCGTGATAAATGAATGAGATAACCTAGCATTTGCAAGTTTAATAAAGTTAAGCTGGTTAGAACACATCTGCTTATAACTTGTTATAAGCATTATATTCGTTTAAGTCAACATTGTGGCCAGCAAGTATTATTTGCTCTCATTCAGATAAAGGCAGGCAGTGAACTCAGAGCAGGCATTAACATTGTTACACTTCTTGCTCTCTCTGTTTCAATCCTGGAAAAGTGCCTGGAGCCAGCATTATTTACACATTCTCAATGGTTTGGTTTTCTTTACAAGAATCCAAGTGCAATCATCAAAATTTCTTAGTGTTCATCTGTAAAACATTGCCTCTCCTAGAAGATGTGTTAGCAGTCAGTCACGCCCTTCTTTTTGGTACTTCTGTTCCAACTCCTGAACTCCTGCCATAAACCACTGTCCTTCATGAGAAGAAACAAGGTCATTTGATAAGTAAGCACCACACAAGTGGTGTGTTTCATTTTGTGTGTTTAGGCTGGCAAAGTAATTTCCATGCTTTGTTTGGAAATCTGTCAGGAGCTGTGATCTAACAGCCAGCTTCTAGAATAGCTGAAACATTCCACTACTCAGTAGTCCTACATTTTGAGAGTTTTGTAGTTGTTTTTGTTTCATCTTCAGTGGTTAACACAACAAGCACTTCTCTACCCTTTCCACCAAATACTACTCTTCTTTCATTAAGTCACTTTCTATTTTTGGCTTAATAAGCATGTGTAGAAATGGGTTTTTCAAATCACAGGCCCTCCTTGGATTGTTTTACAGTTCTAGGGGAAGAGCAGTGTTGATAACACACTGATGTTTATAGCTGCTGCTAAGCGCTGCTATTCAGAACCAGTTCTCAAAGAAGGGCCCAAGGAGCTGGGAGGGAACAGAATTAGGACAGCTGACACAAACTGTCCAGAGAGATATTCCATACCATGTGCCACTGTGTGGAAGGAGTTCTGAACGAGGTGGGAGTTCATCTCATTCTCTTCCACTGCTCAGGGGGCTGGCCAGGCATCAGTCAGGGAGTGGCAAGCAATTCCTTGTGCATCACTTTTTATATATATATATATATATATACACACACATATACACACACACACATATAGTCATAACTATTGTCCTTTTCCCTGTCTTAGTAAATAGTTTTTTCCTCAATCCATGAGTTCTGCTGCTTTTTCCTGATTCTCTCTCCATCCCCCTGGGAAGCAGGGGAATAAACGAACAACTGTGTGGTACTGAGCCACCTGCCAGGTTAAAACACAACAGTGTCACTTGGTGTTATAGACTCCCTTTGCATATTACCACATACTGTTTGATTTTGTGGATTGTCTGCTTTTTAATGGAAAAAACTAATTCCACAAAGCAGAAACAATGGACTGGACCCTGGATAACATGAGAAGGAATGCCATCTTTCCAGATGATGCATTCTCACATCTGCCATTTTAAAGAGAGGAGGAACAGAGAAGTAGACAGACTTATTTAGACACCAACTCCTTCAACTTCCACTTTCTCATATGCAGATTTCATCACAGCTATAGGAGTATGAAAGACTACTGCAAGCCATGTAACCTGGTGGTGCCAGATGTCACAGCATTGTGCCATGCAGAGAACATAACAAAAGGATTCACAGCCATCAAAACTTTTCACTTAAGGTCTTGGTTAAAAGTAAACCTCCACCTTTTAACTTCTCTTTTGCTGTCTAGCTGAAAGTATAGGGATTTTAATGCCACATCTCTGGGGCTTGGGGGACAAGAGGGACACTCCACCTTCAGCCTGATAGAGGAGAAGGTTCTGCTTTGGGTTCAGTTACCATTCCTCAAGTCTGATTTATGAGACATCACCAACATTTCCTGACCCTCCTGGCTCAATCCATTCACTGCACTTACTCAGACTTCAGAAAAACCTCTTTTCCCTCTATTCTTAACACTAAGTTTGCTCAGAGACTGCTTTTGACTGAAGCATTTTAGCACTGCAATTAAATAAAATAAAAAAAAAAATCACTGTCTCTGGTTTTAGCTGGGTCTCCATTAGACCTCTGAATTTATTTTGTTCAACAGATTAAAACAGTCTATTAGAGTAGATTTCATGCACCAAACTGTCAGTTGATTTCCTCGACTGTCACACACATCCTCCCACCACCCTAGCGGCTCCTAAATCACATTAACATGCTATCAGATTTTTGCATTGCAGCAGCTGTTACTCTCTTCTTATTAGGGAGTCTACAGAGATGATCTTTCAGACAAAATGGAGCTAAACCTTGTGGTTATTGGGGCTAGAAGGATGCAGGATTAAAAGTGCCTGAGGGAAGCCTGCAGGTATGATCCAGAGGTCTTTCAGAAAAGGCATCTGTTATTTAAAGTTGCAGCTCAGGGGAAAAAAATGCAAAATAATAATAATAAAGCTAACAAACTGACCCACACTGCAAAGATGCGAGCTGTTCTCTTTTTCCTTCAAAACGAAGCACTGGGAACAACGAATAACAGTGCTGGTTGTATTATGCTGCAGTGGAACATCTGCATGCCCATCCAACTCGCATCTGGACCCTTGGTCTGTATACTGCATTCTCTTCTTCTATTACATGATCTGGGTGAGTGCCCTAAGCTGCCTCTCTTTTTGCTCAACTGTAAAGTCAAGATAATTTGTTATGCTCCTAGTAGAACTGCGTAACAGTTAAATGTTTCCAAACAAGTTCTCTCTTACTGGCTTCTCATAGGTGGATAACTCTCAGGCTCAAAGTTGACTTAGCAAGCACCTCTAATGAAACAGCCTCTCACACTCATCTTCACTGTTAATTTGCTGCAACTATCACACTTTCAAATAGCAGCAGTTAACACCATTATGTGTTGGAAAAAAAAAAAAAAAAGAAAAAAATCAGGGGATGCAATGGTCTCTTTATCATTGTGCTGTGTTGAACAAAGACAGATTATCTGGTGATTAGGGGTTTGGAATATTAATTAAACATCAAGGCTTTCAAATTAGAATCCCAGATGTTTGATCATTATGGTAATTCCCTGTTAACAAAATTCCCTGAAAAGCCTGAGACACATTCCTCTAATTCTCCAGTGGTGAAAGGTTGAGGACCCTTAGACTATAGAGCACCGAGCTCCTCTGCATCAGTTATACAAAACAAGGTTGTTTTTGTTTTTTCTTATTTTAAGCAAAATGGAGCCATCTCATTTTGAAAACCTTCTGTTAAGGAAGCTCACAAGCAGCTGCCTAGGTAGATAAATGGTTTCTTTGCTAACACAGGCCCTCTCAAAACAAAGCACTTTACTTCTTGCACCAAGCTGCTTGCCCCAAGCCAACAGTCTCACCAGGATCTTTTCAGGGAGGGGCAGCAGGAGCAGCTGGACCTGTTGGGTCTCCCATCAAACACCACATCAGTGCATTCTGGCCTGCTTCTTTAGGCACTGGAGTCAGATTATTGACCTCAGGCCTCAGCATCCACAGTACTCCCTCCAGGCCAGAGCTGCACCTACAGCCTTGTCCTGCTAAGGTGAGAAGCCGAAGGAAATGCAATTCCTGCTCAGGAAATCATAAGGATTGTTGCTGGCTTTCATTTGTTTTTATGCATCTGTACCACCATACACTGTAGAGACAACTCTTCTCCTGAGCCTGTGAGCTGACCTAGTGGTTTGGTAACAGCACCTAGTAACTGCAAACCTACAGATAAGAACGCAGATTGTTCATGTAAAAAGAGTGAGTCCTATTAGTCACAGGCCACTCAAAGTGTTTGGACGTATATGTTAGCCAGCCAGCCTGCCTACCAGGCACGCTGTCCTCAGGAACATCATCCTCTCAGCAACCTCAGCACATTGTATTTTGTAATAAGTTATCTATTTAGGAATAACTGGAGCGACAACAACATTCCTTTCGCCTGGCAGTGACGTACTGGTATTCATTCTGACAGTAGGAGCTCCTACTGACATAAGAGTAAAATACAGATTCATACATACGCCCAGAGTAGCCTAAGAACTTCTCAGCAAGCAACAAAGTCAGAGAAATCGGCAGAAGATCCAGACAAAATAGGACAAATAGCCCCAAGTTCAAGATCTCACATAATTCACTTAGAAACTTAGTTAAACTTCAGTGCAAGCTGACAGAAATTTCAAGTAGAAATTGTTCAAAATAATTTCACTGTTAATTTCAATGTTAATTCTGCATACTCTGATTAAGAAGCTTTAATAGAGTACAGCCTCAGAGGAGGTATACTGTCAATCCTAACCAAGTGGGGAAGGTTCCTTCCCCAATTACGTTACAAAGAACACATATGCTACGTCAGGGTACTGCTCCACAGAGGGTTACATTCTCTTACTGAAAAATTCTTTTATTCTTTTCCAGCAACCCTTTGTGCCCATACGTGCCCCACGGAGTAGAAGTAATACTAGTTTGCAAAAACATAAATGGAAAGTAGCTTCCACAAACCTCCAAAATCCTCCCATAGCCTTTATTTTTAAAAAGCATAGTGCCTATGTACTGTAACGCAATGAAAAGCACAGCAATGACAGCAAAGCAGCAAGGTCCCAGGCTGCAGCAAGAGGGGATTTGCACAAATGCAACAGTCGTGGGCACAGAAATAAGGGAAAGAAGCTGCTTACCTTCAGAAAGCCTCAGGTATGCAAGGCTCTCCAGTGAGATACCCTTGCCTCCACCACCAACCCTTAAATGAGGTCTGGGAAGGGGTGGATCCTGGCTACACCCCTTCTAGCCACACAGGGTCACTGCATACACCTGAGCTCTCCTGGGCTGGCCCTGCCCTTCCCCCAGGTGCTCAATTACTGGTTCAGACCCTGATGTAGCATTTTTTGCTACAGTACTAACAAAATAGAAGTCTGTACTCAAAAGTATTTTTGCTATTCTAGGGATATCTAATCTAGAACCTAAGCAAGAACCCTGAAGATCTTCATGCTTTTCTAGCCTCTACAAGTTATTTCACTATCAGTTTTTTTAATGAACACTCTACTGTAATTCCATAATTCTGGTCAGAAAATACCTAAACATATTTCCTCAGTTGACAGAGGAAAAGAAGAGGATCTTGAATGTTAACAGCTCTGTTTCTCATAGAGAAAACATGTCTGACTTCTTGGATTTGGATCTTGCTGGGCCTCATAACAATACTGACTGTATTGAGAAACAATCGCTTACTCCAGAGAATTCTTAGACCTCTTGCTGTGAGAAGCTCTGTCTTTTCAATGGCTGTCAATGGTCCAGGCTTACATGACTGAATCTATCAGTAATTTATAGAGAACTACAAAGTAATGGAAATGAAGGAGGAATTATCTTTTTAATAGCACTGTACACCTCCATAACAATGCACAGAATGCTGATGTAGAAAATAAAAACGTCTGGTTAGCAGTAGATACAAAAGAAGCTTGTTCTTAGTTTTCTCTTAACAAGAATATTCATTTGCAATCTAGCACTACATGAGGTCTTAGCATTGCCTTCAAGAGAAAAAGAAGCTGCTGTGGATGAAAGTATGAACGGTATGAAAGACAAGGCTGAGTACTGGTTTACCATTCCCTGCAGTCGCTGTGAGATCACACATAGTGAGACAAGTCCCAGCACTGAAACACTGTACTGAAATGTGCCAGGTGCTTACTTGGAAACAATACAGACTGTGAAGATAATATGTTCCCAAATGCCATTCTATGAACATGGATCAAGGTGTTCACCCAATAATTATCACAAATCATTGTACTTAGATGACTGCAACCAACCCCAGGCAATTTTCAGGTATGGCTCATAAATAAAGACCTATGATATAGGTTTGGCTTTACTATCAGCTGGAAATTATGAGTCATTTTCAGCCTTGTTTGGGTATAATACACTCCGTGATTGACCAAATCTTTCCATCACTGGGTCATTTAAATAATTGCCTACCTCATAATCCCAAGAAGCCTGCAATATTGAATTTTGTTCTGTACAGTGTGGAACAAACAGCATTTCTAATGGAAAGTATATCTTCCACATTTTTTAAGAAACATGGTAGTACATAATACTTTGAACTACTGATTTTGGCATTTAAGGTGGATGTCATTATCAGTTATGATTAAACGTGCAAAAATGCACATTTCTAAACCTTATAAGGATTAGCTGAGCAACACAGGGCCTTATTGTACAGGTTATATTGTTTCCCTCATCCCCTGACTAACATCTCCTTACACCTTATATGCAGGGTCATCTAAACAGATATGAAATAAAATACACGAACACAACTGTTTTACAGGTTGAGGGAAATTAAAAAAAAATATTAGGAGAGCTCTTAGAAAGTAATCTATGAAAACTTCTTACTATATCATACCTTCTACTGCTAATTCCTTCCATCTTTCTTTGTTTGCTTGAATTATCTGCATCAAGTTGTCCCTAAAGCTTCTTAGGTCTACAGTTGCTAGGGAATTTTCTGTGTGAGCTGCTCCATCACTTGCTGTACTTCTAAAATTGTGTCGTCTTTGCGCATCAACATTGCTTACTGCTCCCAGATTATTCTGGCTGCAGAAAGAAAAAAAATCCTAAATTATATACAAAATAGAGCATATTCAAAAATACATAAACAGTTAATTTAAACCAAATTATTTAGGACTTGCATGTAATTACTATGTAGAGATGAGTGTCTTCACCAAAGAATGTCTAAGATACGGGATATTTCCACAACTCATGAAGTTGTAACCTGAGAATTATTCTTGCCAACCTTTTTCCAGGAAATCTTTGTAGAGAAAAAAATCAAAGTGACAGCTGAAAATACATTACTTGAATGTTGGATCCTGAAAGACTGTTTATGGAGTTATTTTGGAGTAGCTTCTTAGTTACGTTTTTAAACAGTGAATGGTATCTGGGGACTTACAGGAAAGATACACGATTGTTAATTGTTGTGGCATTTTAAAAAAAGCAAGACATGATAGGGTATGGCAGATAAATACACTTAATTCCAGCTGAAAATTCTCTTCATGTTACATGAGTTTGTAGTCAAAGCAGAATGGAGTGGCAATAAAATGCAATCCTTCGAAACAATATGAAAGTGAAATACTAAGAACAATTACTATATTAACATTAATAAGAAAATATTAGCTTTAGTCACTACTCAAATGCTACTGAAGCTTTTCTACAAGAAACATAAGATACAGGCCAAATAGATTCTTTAAATGTGAATATGCAGATCCATGTCCAGGTGTAGTAACTCTATTTTCTATTTTCATTTCTTTTTTTTTCTTCTTCTTCTTTTTTTTTAATGATAAAAAAACGCCTTATTTCTGCTTTTTCATGGGTAATCACATTGACCCATGACTGCTTTGTAGACACCTTTCTTCATGATGCAAAAATGAAAAGCTTGATAGACAAAAACCAACCAACCAAAAAAAAAACAACAAGCATCTCATTTATAGTGTATTTAAATTTCACAAATGGAATATAAGCAGGGTCAATTCTGGCTCAAGTGTATATACAAAATAATACTAGAATGGGAAAGTGAAGAAGGAAAGTGACCTACAGCATCTTTATCAGGCAGTGTACTGGTAGGAAAAGTGGTACTGGCTCTAAATTAAAAGAAAGAGGGTTTAAGTTAGATATGAGGAAGAAATTCTTTACTTGGAAGGAGGTGGGGAACTGAAACAAGTTGTCCAAAGAAGCCTCCATCCTTGGAGACATACAAGGTCAGGTTAGATGGGGCTTTGAGCAACCTGGTCTACTGCAAAGTATTTCTGCCCATGGCATGAAGGTTGGAGCTGGATGGTCCTTAAGGTCCCTTCCAAGTCAAACCATTCTACGATTCTATGAATACATAACACAAAAATGACAGAAAAGAACTGAAGCAGTTTGCAGCACCTCCACTTCCAATTGTCTGTCAGAAATCAAAGAACTGTCAAAATTTTACTGAAAAAGGCTTGAGGATAAGAGAACAAAGATAACAAAGATAATAAAGAAAAAAATGCTGTTTTTAGGTATGTGGTAGAAAAAGAACTTATATTTTATGTATGCATTCTGTTCTTTACTGTGGCTTTGCCTTTTTACATGCAAGTTCATCCACAATCAATGGAAGAATAACATACTGCAAATACAAGATAGTACCACATGATGGCAACACTGTATAGCTGTTCCTATTGCTTGTCCAACTGATGAAAGTACTACAATAATTCCGAGAAGGACATTATGTTAATCTTGCCAGTCCAAAAAAGAAGCAGTGTATTCATACCCGGGTGTCCCAAACGCAGGACTTTCAGATTTTGATGCTTCCTCTATAAGAGGCATAACAATTTTCTCCATTGAGTCCGTAAGAAGAGAAAATGTTGGTTCTACTATGAAATCAATGAAACCTGAAGGGGAATAAAAAAGAAAAAGTCAGATTTTACATTTTCACAGCTCTCATTGCTAAAAATAAATACTTGATATCAAACTGATTTTATTGTTGCAGTACTGATTCAATATATTAGATATCATTCATTTAATCAAGGAAAAAATGCAAAACTAAACAGAAAAACAACAACAAAAAAAACAGCTAGTGAACCTGTGTGGATATAACTCGACAACAATTATAGCTTTTCATTTCTTTATCTTGTAAATTTTATGTACTGCAGAACACACCTACCATTTTGAAATGAATATTAATTATCAAAAAGAAGGGAAGTAAAGGATGGAACTCATACCAGCTCCTTTACCACACAGAGCTTCTTGCCAAGGAGTTAATACTTCAAAATGCTGTTTATTATTCTGTGGAGGTAAAGTGTTATCTCACAGTATGTAGGAGTGTTCTGTCAAATCAGTGAAGAGAACAAGTAATATCCCTAGGAGACAGCATTCATCCCACAGTTCTGAGATGTCAGCTCTGAACAATGTCTTTTACGTTTTAAAGTGCTTGTCAAGGTATGGAATGACATAGTGAGAGAATGAAGCATTATTCTCTGCTGAGCACTTAAGAGGAAAAAAAAAAGTGAAAAAAAAAGCTAAAATGTGAACTAGCAATGGATTTCCAGGAGTCTTCATAAAGCACAAAGATGAGCAGTGGTGCTTCAGCCTAGGATCCAGCTTCCTTTCTGCAGTAGGTATAATGCTTCAAATCCCACTCAAACAGAATAAAGGATGCTCTGAGTGACAAGATCAGACAGGATGACATGCTTCAATTCAAGGATAAGACACCTTCACCTGTAGATTCTCTGCAGGAGCCTCTGCACTCACTCACACAAGTACAGCTGTTAATACGTATGGCTTCATATGATATGCATCTAGGGTATGCCCTTCTAACTAGCCCCACTGATTTTTACCAAGTTTTATTTCATTATTATTGCTGAAGGAAATGGAAGTAGAGATAGCTAAGACATGTATTTATGAAAATGGGAAAGAAGTTTGGCTATTGCTGACCAAAATGCAATTAGAATTGATAAAAATAGAATACAGTGGTCCTTGTCAGCCCAGGAGGCTTAGCTATGCCATGCCAGGCCTCTCAGATGCAGTCCAGGCACCTGAGGTATGAATGAGCTTTAGTTGAGATGTATCTACAAAATGGTACCAGGCTTTTAGATTGTAGCATAGACAGATTTTCAGGTTTCTGAACAAGAGACAACCTGCTTGAGGCCATGGTCTACTTAACTGTAAAATGCAAACAGTATTAGATAGGCTCATGTCCAGTACTTTGGTAAGCACCTCTGCTGCCTAAAACCTCCCTGGCATCATCACACATGCTCAATAACTTCATATTCTTTTGAGATGAGTGCATTGCTGCTTTAAGGGCAGTTCAGTGAACAAATAGCTACAAAGAAATACTTTCACTATGATGGGATTTTTAACATTTAAAATTCATAATGGGTGTAGGAAAGGTCCACACGATGCTGCAAGCTTGTACACGGGGAAGAAAAAGGAAAACAGAACTTGCCATTACCGATTTGGGACTGAGCTACCAAAGTAGACTTGCGGTCACAGAGTGGGGAAAACTGAAGACCTAAAGCAGCCTCCTTGTCTCCCTGCAAACAACAGTGTTTAATATTACAAGCACATACTTAATAGATGAAAAGAGAGAAAACAAATCTAAATACTATTAGCATTTATTCAACAGGTTATTTTCTTCACTTATACTCCTAAACAAAAATAAGCCATGGGCAAAACCAAAAATTCACTATTTACTTTTAAAATTTCAGGAAAAGTAAAAGTCAAAATTATGGCTTACGTCTGACTGTTTTTACATAAAGGAGCTTACTGCATCTGCCAATGAGATTTAACACGTGTCAAGAAGCAAAAATATATATTTTATACAAAGCACTTCAACAGTCACCATTTAGTTCTGCTGATCCCAGATGTGATGGGATTGGAGACACTTAGACATGTATGCAGTTGTATTGAAAACAATAAGCGCTTCTTTCTATTGCAGTGGTTTATCCAACGTGCGACATTTTTGTTAATGGATTTGTAAAGGTAAAGGGCACGATCTGACTTTAACTTACTCTCACTAGCAGGTATGGCTGTGCTGCTAAAGAAAGAAAAAAGAATCACAGGCTCAATTTCGTTAGCAGCATGACTTGTAGAAATCTACTTCTGAAAGTTTTTAACATCTAACAGCTAAAAAGGCCTCTTTTGTCATAACAGACTTGACAGACAGGGTAGTACTATCTCCACTTTACAGCATAGTAGGCCAACCAATTTGCAAAGCTCAGAAGGGCAATCCAGTGATGCAAAAAGAATGAAGAGAGAGATCTCCCAGAGGAGGATATAATTTGTGTTGCTGGATAAACGTGGCTGAGAAAAAAGTTGGTCTTTCAAGTAAAATGGTTCTACATGTTACATTAGTCATGCAGACTGCTGTTTCATGATCATCCAGCAGGAAAAGTTGAGAACTATGAAATCACTTCAGACACAAAAACAGACTGTGTTTCACGTGAGATTTTTATCTCTATAGCCTCTATGTTTTACAACCAACTGTTGTTATTAATTTGACTTCAGAACACAGAAGAATGCAGGTTCGCATGAGCAGTGCCAGTGGTATCTCCATGTAAATGCAGGAGGCAGATTGTGTTTCAACATAGAGTAGTTTTAATAATTTCAGTCATTGCTGAATATAGAATTTCTAAAGCAATACTAATTTTGCAATCTTCTCTTAACTAGATATTGAAAATGAAAAAATTCCGCACTTGTGAGGAATACATTTGCTTTTTTTAGGTTTTCAGGTTGTTCTTTATCCAAATTATGAACTGCTTCAAAATTAAACCAATAACTAATAATTAAATATAATATAATAAATACTAAGTCTAGCATAAACTGTAATAATGGACACAGCATTGATACCTAAAATTGATAACTAGAATCTCAAGAGATTTAGAATCAAGATACGGAGTGAAATGAAATCTTTTCTCAGGTGAACTTTCACACTTTTGGATTTATGCAGGCTGAGGGCATAATGCTATCAGAGCTGTAATGCTTCCTTGAGTGACTTCATCTACATATTCCATAATTTTTAAGTATTTGGAATGAGTGGGCAAGTACTCAAGTAACTTGTAACAAGTAACAAAGTAACTCAGATTTTCCTAGGCATTACAATACACTTGCCATAGTTGTTTTTAAAATCAAAAAGTTTGGCTTTTTCTCTGAAGTTAACACTGGAACATTTTAATTATTAGCTGCAGTTAACAAAGTTTTTTTCTAGGAGAATGTTTGCTTTTTGCTAGTGCTCACTACTTTGAAAGCTGCCTATTAAAACATTGTTTTCTTGGTGGTAGTTTCAAGCTCTGCTGCATTTTCCTGCAAAGCACTGGAAGTAGTTGAATATTATTTTTAAATCAAAGAAGAGGAGGACTATATGTGTCATCTGGGCTGACACAGATCTGGAAACCCCATAAATTTCCAGTGCATGTACTCGGATCAGCAGTGCAGAGGAGGCACAACCAAAATAAAGCATCTAGGAAGCAGAAGGCCTCCTGTATCTGTGTCTGCACTGCAGTTCTGTATCTAGTTACTTCATCACACTTCGTAAGCGTTGGAACTACTCCATGCATGCTGTTGTTCCTTAGTCATACCTATAAAGGAAGTCGATTCCTTACCTATTCCTCTACAGCCTACGAGCTGCACAGCCTTTCACATTTTACACTGTGCAGCAGCAAAAAAAACCATGTGGTGACTTGATTCTAATACTAGATGGCTAGTCATATCTTCAGGCAGTTTATTTGTGATCCTGTTACTTCTTCTAATGAAAGGATAGGGGAACAGCTAAAATATGAGCTGATCCTAAGCACTCAAAGACTAGTGAGATACTGTTTATTGCTCATGCTACATCCACTTGACTGGACACATTGCCTCATTGTCCCATGGGCTCTCTCTAGTCCATCTCTCTGCATCTGAACTGTTTTTACAGTTTGTCATTTCTGACCTTTTCAAGTAATATATATCTGTGGTAGTCTGCTCCTCCTTTTTCCTCTCAACTTCAAAATCATTATTTTCATTTACAGAAATGGACACAAACTCATTACGCTACTCAGTATTTCCATATAATGTAGTCCACTCATTACGTAGATTAATGAATCAACTCTCCACTTGGTCTCCCCAGTGCAAATCCCAGAGTCAAGGATGCCCTGATGCTCCCTGGTGAGAATTTGTATAAAGAAACACTGAACTCAGCAAGAACCTTCTAGGGCAGATCAGCTAAATCTCACAGCTTAATTTACTGACTTATTATCTGGTCTCCTTCTCCAGTGTGACCTATCTGATTGGAAAATGTCAATATGTAGCATAATAATGACAATTTAGGTGAGTGGGAATTACACTGTTTCATTATCTCACAAAAACTCCTTTCAGAGATAATATTTTCCCTTTGAAGAAAAGCTTTTTTCACTTGCTGAGGAGAAGTCAGAAAATGTCAGCAGTGACATCAACACCTACTGGGCTTTCTCTTTGAATTCAGTATCTCACAAAAATGAAAAAACCTTCTCAAGACTGCATCTTCATTTTTGTTTAGGATATATGGCCACAGGGTTTACAGGATGATTCTCTCTGTTTTGGTATTAGGTTGTAATAAAACCAAAGCCTTCATAATGATGTGGAACATGCATGGCAAGCACTGGCAAGAAATAGGAGGATTTTCTGAAATATGAAATGGAGATGGCATTTAGCATTCTTCACTGAACACGAATTCTTCCTAATTTCAAGTCCCTCTTTCTATCCTATCAGTGCTTCATTTTAACTCAAAGCATACATAATTCTCTGTCTACAGAATGAAAACAGCTTGACATGTTATATTATTATCAAAAGAAAAAAGTGCTACAACACTTAGAATCAGCTGAAATAGATATGAAGCTACAACAATTTCATCTTATTCACTCACATAAAAGTTGAGTTAATGTCAGTGGTATGTATTAAGAGTAAGAAATATATACTGCTGACTGTGTTCATCAATCACAGCCAACAATATCCTTGCTGGTAGACTTAGGAAAATACTTAATTGTGTAACATTTGCTTCTTGAAGTAGTATATTAAAAGATTTTTTAAATGGCACCTGTCGAAAAAATTCTTCCATCAGGGCCATGGTCCACCGGTAGTGCAGTTCCCAGGATTTTGCTGGATGGCTTATGTCTGCTGCATGTAGAATCAAAGACATGGCTTTGGCTTTGTCTACCCTGTCAATTCAAGGACATGCTCCAATTATCTCAGAACAAAAACAACTATTTGAGTCTTTTCTTGTATATGAGCTCATTTAAAGACTAGAGATAATGAACAGAATGAAAATTACCTACCCCTCTGCCTGCTGTAGAGTATGCCGCATCGTTTTAATTTGTTGGAAATGACCCGACATATCTGTTGACAAGACCATCTCAATGACCAAGCTACGCAACTCCCTGAGAATAATTAAAAGCAAAATGACTGGTTACAAACCATTTATTCTACGTATGGAATATTTCTTTAAATCTTAAATCATTTAAATAATCATAGAATCACCAAGGTTGGAAAAGACCTAACAGATCACCCAGTCCAACCGTTCACCTATTCCCAATAGCTCCCACTAAACCATGTCCCTCAACACAACATTCAGCCTTTCCTTGAACACCCCCAGGGTCGGTGACTCCACCACCTCCCTGGGCAGTCCATTCCAGTGCCTGACCACCCTTTCTGAAAAGTAATACTTCCTAATGTCCAGCCTGAATCTCCCCTGCCGTAGCTTGAAGCCATTCCCCCTGGTCCTATCACTAATGACACGAGAGAAGAGGCCGACCCCCAGCTCACTACAACCTCCCTTCAGGAAGTTATAGAGAGCAATGAGGTCTCCCCTGAGCCTCCTCTTCTCCAGGCTGAACATTCCCAGCTCCTTCAGCCTCTCCTCATAAGCCCTGTGTTCCAGACCCCTCACCAGCTTTGTTGCCCTCCTTTGAACACGTTCCAGGGCCTCAATATCTTTCTTGCAGTGAGGGGCCCAAAACTGGACACAGTACTCGAGGTGCGGCCTCACCAGTGCTGAATACAGGGGAACAATCACCTCTCTGCTCCTGCTTGCAACACCGTTTCTGATGCAAGCCAGGATGCCATTGGCCTTCTTGGCCACCTGGGCACACTGTCGGCTCATGTTCAGCCGAGCATCAATCAATACCCCCAGGTCCATTTCCTCTACACAGTCCTCCAGCCAATAGTTAATAATTTATTTATTAATTTATTTATTAATAATTAATAAATAAATAGTTAATAACTTGACTATTGAATCATAAAGAGATTCTGTGGAAGCAATGTACTTCAAAAAATGCTCTTTCTAGTTTTTTATTTCACATTCTATTATTTTAGAGTCACACTATTTTTTAATTCTTCTTTTCTACTGTTTAAACTAAAACTGTCACCCACTTAAAGCCTTTCCTTATTTTTCAGCAGTGAAATATTTTACAGTCAGTCTCTGGGCTCACCACCACACAGTGGTGTATATTGTACAGTGGAATATATTGTTATCTTTTATTATTGCCCTCATATCAGTGGATAGCAGGAACAACACAGGAAGAAGATGGTGAAAACATTTAAAAGAGCAAGAAGTATTACATACAAAACGCTATTAACATTATGCTAACATACAAAGATTATGTCAAACTATTCTTCAATTCAAAAATGCCTTAATGTCTATTACAAGAGTTAAAGCAAGTTCAGAATTTATAGTTTATCTGTATGCAGATGTTTTGCACTGAGATATGGGCTTGGCCATACTAAATGGATATGAAAATAGTAAAATGTGAATCACGTGAGACAGTGTACAAATTCCTACTGTTAATCTTACTTGTCAAGCAGCAATAACTGTGCCTTGAAGAAAACTCAGCATCTACAATACTGCCACAGCATACTGATTCAAAGAATTCTGTTTCCTTGATGTTGAGGGTTGTATGCAGGAGTCTACTTTATTCTCATGCTTTTAAAATGACCTACTGGCTATTATATGTAAGAGTGCCACTTATATATGTAAACGGAGGAGAATTCACCACATCAAATCTTTGTTGGTGCAGCATAACTCTTCATGAGCACAATGCTAATCTTAAAGGTCTCTAAGTATCAATTACAAGAGTAAAATTCTACTTAAGTAACACTCATTGATCTTTAGTAGTATATTCAATCTTTGAGTTGACTAACAGTGCAGGTTTTTCAAAGGAACACATTTTAAAGAGATAGATTGTTTGGCTTTTTTTTAGGGCTGAGTAGTTTTTATAATGAATTATCAACACTGCTTCTGAATTAAATTAATTGCACATTTAAGTTAATACTCCTCATTGATTTTTGTGTATTTCTTCTTGACTTGCTTTGATGATAACTGGATAAAGATTCAACCCTCTCACTTCTCAAATAATATGCAGCCATAACAAACTGAGTTTAGAAAATGTCTTACCTTATCTGATCTCATAATGAGAGACTAATTTATTTGTATCCCAACTGTTTCTCCTCCACACTGCTTTGAAACTGCACCTTTCAAACACAGCCAAACCCAGAAATAAATTAAAAAAAAAAAAGACGAAAAAAAGCCTAGCTGCATGAAAAGCGAGAGCTCAGCACTGTTAAGTGCTGTTTCTTTGTAAAACTTAATTGATGATAACTTCTATTCCTATGAAGATTTTCCTAGGAACTTTCCCTGTCTGAACTTTCTTCTAGTGATAATTAGAAATAAGCCAGCCCCACCATGCAAGGCATGCAATCAACATGCTGCTTCTGGTAGATTCGCTTTGTCATGGCAGATGACAAACTCACATTCATGCTTCTGACACCTGAAGAAGGATCAGATAGTTTAGCACTGCCCTTCTCACACACTTCACAATATTTCAGGTCACTAAAACACTACATAACAGCAAAGGAGAGGCTCTCCACCTACAGTCTGCAATTGCTTCCTGCCTGCACTCCCATTCTTTTCAACAGAGAGACAGAAAATACAGAACTGGCAGGGAAACATTAAATACAGCTTTACTAGAGCCAAGAGAGCTCAGTCTACTAACACTGCACAAAAGATTACTCTTGGACACAGTCTGTTCCCAAACTATCTCCATGGAGACTCTCAACTTCCATATCGAAGGAGAGAAAACACTGCACACTCCCTTAAGCATCAGGCAGCTGAAGGCATCATGACAAACACTGTTAGTGCTGCTAATACTACCACAGCGAAATGACATATAGGAACTGCCATCTTTATGTCTGCTATCAGAAGTATAGCAATTTCATTTATAGCACATAGCAAATTTTTGGAGCTCACAATTGGAAAAATACTGGTTTTGTATATACATATTTCTTAAGCAATTGGTCGTGTCCTTTGTTGTCATCCTTTCTTAGCTCTCCCATAGCCATATGACCTATGGATGTTTATAAACAAGTAGTAGATGAAATATGACGTGAAAAAACAACATGAATAATGCTGTGATAGACAAGAGACAAAGAGCGATACATTCGTTTCTTCAGAAAGTAGTCAACCAATAAACTGAATCCCATGTCACCAGGATTTGTTTGTGACAATGACATTTAGTCAGTTGGACACAGTTGGATCATTGAACTAAAACCTTAGGAACAGGCTAGGAAGTAGGAAACTGAAGACCTAAGGCAATCTTGCAAGTTACAGCAATTCTGCTTTCCTCAAACAGAATAATGCCAGAGGAAGTTGTGAAAGAGAAGCTGTGCATTATGCATTGCACATAACGTACATTTTTTGTCCATATTTTTATATAATCAGTCAATATATCAATATATGCTTTATAACTGGAATGGTTTGAAACCTTAATATCGCCTGTTCACTTGTAATTGGTGACTTGTAATTGGCAGCGTTTCCCTGCTCAGACCCAAGTCCTGTGCTTTAAGCTCAAATGAAGATGACTGTTTATTAGTTCATTTATCTTCTTGAAATTAAGTTGTAGAAAATCAAGTGTAATACTATAAAGTCATTCCCAGTCATTTTGCTTCATCTTGCTGAAATAGAGAATTACAGTGTAAATAAGCAGAGCTGTTAATATAAAATAAAAAATAAAATCACTGTAAGTAAAAAAAAAAAAACAGATCTGATGGTAATCAAGAAATTCATCAGTGTGAGGAAGTACATTAAAAAGTTGAGCAAATTATCATTTATATTTACTACCAACAACAGACTTAGAGTCTATCTAAGCAACAAACCGTGGAACTCCGTGTCCTACTGTAATTGCTTGAGCTTGTTAGGCAGGTTTCATACAGACTAGACTAAGCAGTCTTTACAGAGAAGAGAGTACTTCCAAAAAGTGAAAATAATCTATCATATTCCCTCCTTTATTCTGTTGCAGCATATCAGAGCGTTATATTACAAACATCACACACCTGGAAACCATAGGCTTCTCTTTCCACTGGGCAATACTTTCTATCATCCTATCACTCTTTTCTTCCTGATATAGCAAAAGGGAATGACTGGAATGAAGAGTACCAGCTGACATCCAACTACATATTGCTGCAGGTATTCCCAGGCTACACTCATTCAAGGAGGTCTCTAGTGACTATGAATCCAGGACTTTGGTCCAGTTTTGAACTGAAATTCAACTGCATCAGAAAGTCTAACTGCTTTCTACATGCTCTCTGGCAGGACAGTGTATGAAATGACACCAGCTGGGGGCACATATTCAAAGCAACTAGCTTAAAGAAGTGAAATTCATTACCTCTTCTACAAGTTATGATTTTAAAAGATGAAAAATCCCAGCTCCTGCTGGCTGCCTACTGGCACAATCACATCTCCACTCTCAACAGCTCTTAATAAGGATCACAGAGGCCCAAAAGAGTTCCCAGCAGAGAAAGACCCCTGCTCATGTTAGAATTATAGAATGTCTTTGGTTAGACAGGACCTTAAAGATCATATAGATTTAACCCTCCTGCTGTGGGCAGGGTTGCCAACTGCTAGATCGAGCACCAGATCAGGCTGCCCAGGGCCCCATCCATCCTGACCTTGAATACCTATAGGAACGGGGCATCAACAACCTCCCTGGGCAGACTGTTCCAGCACCTCACCACTCTCTGAAAAAAACTTCCACACTCTGAAAAACTTCCCCCAACATCTAATCTAAATCTCCCTTCCTTCAGTTTTAAACCACTCTCTCTTGTCCTGTCACTACCTACCCCTGCAAAAAGCTGATTTCCCTTCTATTTATAATTTCCCTTTAAATACTGAAAGGCTGCAATGAGGTCTCCCTGAAGCCTTCTCTTCTCCAGACTGAACAAGCCCAGCTCCCTCAACCTGTCTTCGTAGGAGAGGTGCTCCAGCCTTCTGGTTATCCATTGTGCTGGTAATGAAGAGCTGGGTTTATACAGGAATCATTGTTGAAGTTTATCATTTCCAGAGATCTTTCTCCAGAAGTAAATTTACAATGCAAACTTTATGATAACTAAATCAAATGAGTATCACCTGAGAATAAATCCTTTATGAGAATGAAAAATTTTGTTTCTCCTCTCATTATTTTACTAAATTAAAAAAAATAAATAAATAAACACTTCAATATTAAGCATAGTGGAGCATCTATTGAGAAATGATGAACTGAAAACCAAAAGGATCAGCAGACTTGCGTTCAATAAAATATTTATTTCGGAATGTTCTACTCATGTAAATGAGTAAAATTATGTAAATCTACCAAAAACCTATCCTCTGCCTGTAAACATATCCCAAACCAAAATTTGTTCTGAAATTCCTGTATTTCTTTATAATTCTGCATTTTTTGTGAAAACATAAATAAACAAATTACAGCTCTATAATTTATGATGGCATCCTTTACAGTGGAAGACCTTCCTGGAAGCAAAACATCCCTATCTGGATTCAAAGTCCACCTACTTATTTTTAGGATATCTGAATGACAATAGCTACACATACAGAATCATACATAAGACTCAAATTTAAAGACTTGATGTATGGATCTAGTAGAGATCTATGGTATACAAAGATAACGTGCTGCCTTAATAACTGAGAAAATCATAGATCTAACACTTGCTGATTTCGTTCCTGATATTCGTGCATGGCAGTTACGTTCCTGATTCTTTCAACCACTCAAATTTTCTTCAGAAAGCACATTAAAATGAAGAAGAAGAAAAAAACACGTGCTTCTGAACCCTTACCTTATTATTTTTGGACTCTGCAGATAACTCATGTTTTAATGCTTAACAAGATGTGATTATGCAGTGCAGAAATCTGCACACAGAAATCTCAGATGCAGTAGTGGTCATGCTGGCAGTAGAGCATGACTCTGCACCGTGGTTTTAAAATCCATCACTAGACAAAGGTAATCTATCTCAACAGGGGCAGTTCTGTGGTTTTCCTGAAAACTATCTCATCAGAGACATTGTCCACACAGTCCAACAACATGCCTCATAAAAGCACAACCTCACTTGGAAAATTATTTGGCAACTTCCAAACAGTACTTCTTTACACGACAGCAGCTTTCCCAAAGCTCTAAATATCCATTACTCCCGCCACAGCCAAAAGTTTCTTCCTGTAACTTGAACTCTTAAAACAGACTCTATAGAGAAAGCCTGGAGTTTTTCAGTATTTTTAAATACCAGAATTATGTTTGAGTATCTAAACACTACTTACCTCCAGTCATCTTTGGTTAAATTTGTCAGGATGTTCATCTCTTCCTCTTGCATTAGTCTATAAGCAGCACTTACATGATGGTTTTCAAGAACAGACCGATCATTGTACAATATTGCAACATCTGACCTAGTGTTAAAAAAAAAGGCACAATTTTCAATAACATCCCAATGGTAGTGCTGGAGAAGGAAGAACATTGAGAACTACTGACCATATACATTTACATCTCTCCAACTATGTTTATTTTTTCTATCAAATAAATATCAAATCAAATTATGATAAAGCTTCCATACTATCTGCATAAAAATATCATCATTACCACTGTATATATTGCCCACGTGAAAGTAATCTTTTTAAATATATAACATTTTGTTTTTACTCTAAAACTGCACCAATAATCTGTGAAGCAAACCTAGAGCTTCTTGACAGTACTGGATCACAGAGCAATAGAGATGCTCTTTGAGGCCACTTAGAAATACTCCTTGGCAACACAACCATTTAAAATGCAACTCATTCACAAGAGAGGAGATCTACAAATAGAATGGGTATTAAAAAATTACCACCTCTATTCTGAGAGAGACGTGCTTTGGCTCATGTCACTCGCAATCCAAAAGATCTGTAAACTTTAAAATGTTTTAAAACTTCAATTTCATAAGTTATAAATGGATCCCCTGTTCTCGCAGAAAAGCAGCCTCACTTTGAGCCTTGTAAGAAGGAAATGGAAGAACTACAAAGCTGAATCTTGATTGCATTGAAATTCTTTCTAAAGCCTGACCCTTAAAGTTACCATACTCAACTGCATCCTTTCCTTCCTAATAAGAGCCTAACTTAAAATACCAAAATTACATATGGATTTTTCAGAAATTTGGATGCAATACAGATTTATCATACTTCAGAGTTCATTAATTCTTGGGGAACTTGTTTTCCCAAAACCCAACTTGACTTGTTAGGCAACCTTAGGTTTCCCCTCTCTGCTCCACTTCTCTTCTGTTGTTCCGGAATATCTCAGTTCAGTGAGCTGATCAATATGTACTGCAGGGGAGGTGGAATGACTTATCAGTGCAGCTTACTATGATCTTAATATGGTAAATTCAATTCCTTGTTCTGATGAACAATATGAAACGTTCAGTTTAACCACTCACATGTATGGTATGGCACTGGGGAAACTGAAAAAATAGGATTGGAAAGTTTACTTAAAAGGAACGAACAATATCCCACCCAAACAATGAGTAAGTTTATGCTCATAATCTTTCTAAAATCATGGGAAAATTAATGATTTACCAATCACACTAGGTTATGAAGAACACTTTGACCCACATGGCTAATCATGCATAGTTTTAATCAGAAATGAAATTGGATATGATTATGCCAGCCTTTTCCTCAGCATCTTGCTGGCAAAAGAAACCGGAATAACACCCTGAGATGTCACATCAGGGCCAATTCACTAAGAGCAAAGAATGAGCTTAATTGGTATCTACCACAAAACAAATACCTGTTTGTATGTCCAAGTAAGAGTCAAACAGTGTAATTCTTTTTTTTTACTTTTGCAATACTCCAGAGCAAAATATTAATGACAAAAATAGAAAAGTAGTGTAAACTTGGAACTACAAACTAGAGTTTATTTTTAGAAGGGCTGTGCAGAGGAGGAAAAGTATTATGCCTTTATTGCAGCTACAGATCTTGAATTTCTTCATTGTTTAAGGGCACAACCCAGGGCATGAGTATGTCCTGGATTTAATTACACTTAACCCTTGGGCACTTTACCTGTACCTTATCTGTCAGAGTTTCTCATTCAGTAAGCTGAATATATTTTAAGGCATACGTTAATGTTCTGGACCAGAGGCTATGACATACTATGCCTGAATCAGAATGCAGTGAGCCTAACTTTCAAAATGGATTTCTTTGTCATAGCTACTGCAGATGTTATCATGACATGTTAGGGGAGGATCCTTGGTAGGGATTGCTAAAGCTGTGCTTGAAGGTTTTTTCCTGCTTACTCAATTCATAAAATCTGGAATGGTCTGGCTACTTTCTGGCAGCACCAGTAAGAGGTATGAAACAGCTTGGAATAATCAACAGCAAACTCCAGGCTTGATGCTTCAAGGACAACTTTGCTTACCTTGTCTGAATATGAAAATTGTTTGTGGTCCCCGTATGTTCATAATCATGGATGGCAGCTGCAAAAATCATTGCTAAAATTTCCAGTTCTGTGAGCCAGTGCTAGTAAATGAAAAACAGATCTTAGTTATGTTTTCTATAGCTGCCTAATTCAGATTAACTGCATTACTGAAGTGTTCTGCATGACCTTCAGCTAAAGTAAACTTCATCATTTTTCGATTCCAGCTGACTATACAGCCACCATGCCTAAGTATTATACAATAAAATTACTCCTTCTGCTTATATGAATGTCTCCAAGACTGAGTTAAAACCTTTATGGACACTAGCAAAGTAAATACTTTTAGCCATAATATATAAGCAGTTTTTAAGAAAATTAAGTGGTGTACTTTAGTGTTATTTGGGGTGGGAGGTGTCTAATATGCTAACCAATATTTGACACTTGCTAAATTGTAGTAAATTCTTCTAAAAGATTTTTACAAAGCTAAGGCTGTAATTTCTTTTTTTCAGTGAAAAAATATGCAGTTTACAATACCTTTTTAGGTACAACTATAATACTGAAATTAGGTCATGGGAGATTTTTCTTTTCTAAATTATATTATACTTTGTGCTACCATATTGCTTTCAGAAATGTACAAATATGGTGCATAAAATTAGTATACAGTTACACAGAACAAAAGAAAACACAGATAGTCTGTATAAAACAACACAAGCACAAGAATTTTCTGCACTTTTATACCTCTTGCTAATTCAAGATTGCTCTGTTGGTATAATCAGCTTTGTTATTTTATCATTCAAGTTCTACTTTCTTTAATGGTAAATACTTAAAGCTTCAGGAGAAAATTTACTCCCCCCAAAAATAGGGGCAGAAGCATCAAGTGATAGTTAAGCCCACAGACATAGGACTGATTAAGTCAAGTGACAGTCAGGTATTTCCACAAATATTTCAGATTTTTTCCTGTGTAGAAGTAAGCTTCTGTGCTAAAAGATCTACGAATGATTTTCACCCAAATATATAAATACATGCACTAGGGCTGCTCCAAAAGCAATGCCTCCTATTTTGTTATTTTGGCCTATGGCGTCAGAGGCAGATGTTGGCAGTATGGCTGTAGAGGATGAACCTTCCCACCAACATTCCATTACATTCTATTGCCATGAGACAGACGGCAGCAGAGGAGCAGTCTGACAAAATGGTGTCTGACATGGAAGTGTGTATGAAGCAAAGGTGTGTCACTGAATTCCTCCATGTGGAAAAAATGGCACCTATTGACCAATTCAATACTAGCTGAAGGTTTACAGAGACCAAACAGTGGATGTGAGCATAGTGAGGTGGTGGGTGGTGCACATGAGCAGTGGCAACAGTGATGTGAAAGACAAGCTACATTCCAGACAGGCATACACAGCTGTCACACCATGAAATGAAGAGCACTGCTGTCAGCTCATCAGCAGATTGACCAGTGGTGGTGACTATATTGAAAAAAGTGTTTTGTAGCTGAGAGTTTGCTCCATCAAATAGCGCTGTTTTGCTCTTTGTGTCTGTTATAGTCTCCGTGGAAATGAATAGGAGGCATTACTTTTGGAGCGAATGCCATGCCCTACATGAGATGCACGCAGTGCCAGAAGTGGTATCAATTTTTCAATAAAGACAGGAAACAGTCAAAATTCATAAGCTGTGTGAGAACAATAAAATAGGTCACTCAGAGACCAGCTAAGGCAGCCAAGGAACAACAAGTACTAGCTGTATAGATTTTAAAAGGTCACAACGGAGGAATGAGAATGTACTGTAAGCAGTTCTAAAAATGGAAACATTGACCTTCATAGTATTGTCTGTCGTTAGAAACTAGGCCATGGCTCGTCCTGACTTTCACGATGTTTTCAGCATACCAAATAGAACAGAAATCCAGAAATTATGAGCAACCAAAGCCAAATACAAACTTTTTCTTTCAGATGCTTTTTTAAGCCTCAACTTTTTTAGCAACCAAAATAGTTGCTAGATAATTCATTTACAGGTCGAGAGAGCTTCTTACAAACAATATCTGTAGACTATACAGAATTTTCATACTGTGCTCATGAAAGTAAGTATTCTGGACACTGCAGCAATATCGTCAAAATTCAGATTAGTGTCAAAATCAGAGAAATTGAGAACTATTTAGCTAAGAGATTTTTAAGGAAGAGGAGTAAGCTTTCTCTCTAAAAGCCAAGTTAATTTATTTCAATAGGAGTGTGCAAAGCAGGTTCTGGTATCCAGAGGTCTGGCAGACAGCAAGGAGCTGGAACCTACTTCCCTGCTAGCTGATATTGTGCCATGAGAGTGTAACTACTGTTGGAAAAAAAAAAAAAAAAATCTTGAGAGAGCTCTCTACTGAGAGATGCTTTGCAGTACTATAAATTGCTTATAAATCGATGCACCTTAACTTTTCACGAACTCTGGTTCTAACTATTTCTTTAAACAAGGCTGGATTAAAAAATGAGTAAAGCTGTGAGTCTCACAATACACTGGTTGATAGCAAAGACATTTTTTCTTTTCATTTGAGCAATACAGGTACGTGGGAGGAGAAAAGAGATGGTGGGAAGATGATCGATGACTCAAAAGTTCTTCACAAGATGTATTCCCTGGGACTTGGATTCTTAAATTTGTAGAGATGAAGATCTCATAAATGCTAGCTTGAGCTATATATTTCAGTTGTATCATCTGGGATTTAATCTCTTGGAGAAGTTAATAGATTGTCTGCCATCTGTGATATCTAACTTCCTAACACATCTGAAGTGATCCGAAGTGGCTGAAACTCATTTCTTAAGATAGACAGGCAACGTCTTCCATAAAATATGATGATCATTCTATTTCTTTAAACAAGACACTGAAAATATATTATTCTTCAGCATAATCTTTCTAAAAGCTTTCAAACCAAAAGCTATGAACAGTCAAACTTTTGCCAAATGCTGAAATCTGACTGTATTCCAAGTACCAAACAGATATACGTATGACCTCCACAATAGTGACCTCCTCAAGGTACAGTAAAAGCACAAGAATTTCAAACCAAATGTCAGTCTGCAAAACTCCGAGGAATCTGATATACAATTGTATCAAATCGCTTCCTGTCCAAGTAATTGATAGACGATACAGCAGAATTACAATTAGTATTACAAAGGACACACTCCAAAACCAAATAGATCAAGAAGCCAACTTCTTGGTTCAGGAGGGCTAAAATTAATCAGGCAACAGCAAAGAATGAAAGAAAAAAAAGTTAAGCAGAACATTTGTGCATATAGTGATGAATTCTCAGACTGCAAATGACATTTGGACAGAAATACACTGCAAGCTGCGGAATCACTAGGCCTCCTTTCAAACACTGATTTCTATAAATGTTTCTTCTGCCTGGCAAACTGCATCTGTTTGAAGGCACTCTTGACTAAGTGGTGTCCTAGTTAGGTAACTTTCCAAGAACTTTCCAGTATCATAATTCAGCAATTCAAAAGCGAATATTTAAAAAGTGGCCTAATTTTACAGGAATATTTTGCACAGATATTGCAAGATTAATGAGCTTCTACAGCAAAGTAACAGCACTGAAGTTTATGCTTCTCTGAAAATAGTTGTCCAAATCACATCCAAGTGCAGTTACAAAGTTAAATTGCCTACATTGTACCACTTGAGTTGTTGAGGCCTTTCTCAATCTCATGTGTATCTGGTGGAACAGCAGATACTCAAATACAAAGCAGATTCTTTGATTCAGTGTTCAGAGCCTTCTGAAGTGTGTTGCAAAGTTGTTTAATCAATGGCTAATCATTCCAAATTAACTAGTATAACTCACAAAGTTCAAAGTTTGTTCTGGCACCATGAAGGAAATCTGGAATGCTATTGTCTTTTTTGAAGGGAGAAAGAGCACAGCTGCAGTAAGCCAAAAGAATGTTTATAATTTTAATGTTTGTAATCTGTAATACAACAAAGGGATTTTTCTCCCTGTTGAACTGCTTATCCTGCACCAGAGACATGCTTCACATGACTTAATGCTTGCTCTGATCCATGATGCATTCAAGCTTTTTCTTTTATTAAAATGTTTCTTTAATAAGTGAACATCTAATACAACAGCTTTGGGTTGGAGTTAAGAGAGTTGCCTAACCCATTTTTCAGGCTTCTATGGAAGTCCTTTCTCAAGAAAATATCTCAGTGTCAAAGGGAATACTGGCTGGTGAAGATTCCAGACATCATTCCACAAGCAGTATTTGCCTTAAAACGTGGCTTGAAAATCTCCATGTTTAGAAGTAAAAAGCTTCCTTCAAACTACAGAATTAATTACTGCAATGCCTAGAGACTTGTTCTCTCCTGAAGCCAAAGCTTTCAGGTAGAAAAGGCTTAGCATAGGTAAATAACTGTCATTTATTGTCTATATGTTGAAGTACAAACATTTACAGTCAGCCTAAAAATTTTCCTTTCCCAAAGTCTCATGGATTCATTTCAAGGCTCTACAAACAGAAATCAGACACTATCACTTTCCACACGTCTGGCATTTTGTAAATTAAAAAAAAAGATAAAAAGGTGCATTCATACTGAAGACAAATCATCAAAAGTCCATTGACAGAAATGTCCATTTACTTCCAGTCAGTACTCACTTTTGTCTCGCAACCTGATAGTGAGGAGACTCTCACAGCTGGTATTAAATCAAACATGAGTAAACAAGAGTAAAACTGCTTGCACAGACTCACTTCAGATCCCAAAGTTAACACAAAAGAATATTGGGATATTGCAACAGCGCAAGGCAAATGCAATTTCCTGCCTATTGAAGGCATACGTGGCACACAGTGGCAGTCCTAAAGATGGTTATATATCAAAAGAAAAAGCAGCTCAGAGTGTTCGAGTAAACCTGAACTGAATCAGTATTTCTTTCAATGGCCAAGATCTCAGCAGATACTGAAGTTTCCTTGTCTGATCACGCCTCCCAGGCTCCAATGTGGAAGTGAAAAATTCTCACCTACCCACTACTGCAAATATCTCTTTTAATATGATATGCAATGCCAAAGCTCAGCCAATGAAAAGCAAAAAGGGTTTAACAAGGATATTTTTTCCCCCCTTTTTCTCCTCAACATCAAGCTGGAAGAATTTTTAAACAGAAGACTGGAATCTCTCTGAATAATTTTCAAGGAGCTTTTTGCTGAAGCCACGCATACACAGCTATCCAAAACATCAGAGAATCTGCAAAAAGAAGCAAATTGAACTTTGTAGTATTTCTTACCATGATACCAGTATGAATCATTATGTAATGCACAGTTTGAGTAACATCAGCTGCATGGATCAAGTTGTGATATGGATTTTTGTATTTGCTGTAACCAACCTCAAGAGTTTCAGCAAATGTAATAAGATTGGGAACAGGGATCTGGGGAGGAAGTAAAAATTAAAATAAATGTTTTTTCCTGCAACAACAGCAAAGTTAATCATGCAATAAATAAACCACAAATAAGTACATCACAAAATTTTTGTTATGAACAGAAGAATTTAAAATGTAAAGGTCTAAAATCTAACATGCATCTGGAAGTCTTCACCCAATTTTTGTAGACGTTACATCCTGCAACATACACCATGCACAGCATGCAGTCAGAGTACAAGAGGCTGCAGAACTATTGACTAAATAGATGTGGAGAGGTTTCTTCCTGTATGCAGATTGTTCCTATAAGAAAGCTACAACTAACAGGAATCTAAAAATAGGAAAACTTGTTTTTCTTGATCAGCTTTACATTGAGACAGTATTTTCTTGAACCTGGCAGTCTCCATTCCCTGTCTCCTACTTCCTCTAAGCAATGTATAAAATACAGGTACTATTTAGTCCCACTTTTTCCCATGTAATGAATTGATATTTTCCTTAAAATTTCTTTTTCTTTATATAAAAGTCCTGCAAGATAAACTGTCAGATTGAGAATGGCCTTAATCCCACTAAGCCAATAACCCTGTGCATTTTTTTCAATCTGTGCCGTTAATGGTGGTCCTGGTAGGGCTCTGACATCATCCAGACCCTCCCAGGAAAAGCTGAGTTCGAGTTACTGTATAAGTCAAATTACTGAAATCAACTTCAGAATGAGCAGACTCTTCCAATGGAGCTTGAAGTTTGGCAGTGAGAGATTTTGAGCTGCATTGAAATTTCAGTAATTTTATAATAATAAATTTGGTGCTTCAGATTTTATCTCAACTTTTCAAAGTTGGTTAGAAATACTCCATATTGTACCACAAAACCCTACAAACACCACCTAGAAGCAGCCTTTTCTATATATTACTAAAGTTGCTTTCAACTGGGAGGTTCAGCTAAACTCCTCCAGTTTTGGCCAACACACAATGAACTGTGTTATGAAAACAGTACTCAGGATTAACTACAGCTTCTACCTTATTAGGAAACTTTTTAAAATCTGCCTATTTAATCCATTTAATGGTTACAGCATTTAACTGCTCAAGAGCAATGTCCTATCCCAAATTGCCTTGACAAGGTCTATGTAGCACTCAGGTCTTCATCTGCAGAAATATCTGCAGGCTCTGGGTAGAGTTTCATATAGCGGAACTACTGACATATTGTTATGTTCAACTTGCCATCTTCTATGAAGTTCTGCACTGCACTGTACAAAAAAAATAATCTCAAACCCATCCTGGCTTTCTTACATTTTAAATTTGACATACTTATTTTTGCATGCATATTTTTATCTGTGGATGGCTTCTGACCTTGAAACGGTTCAAAAGGTCATATCGGGTGAACAGCTCGTACATCATAAATTTCAGACTGTGTTCTCCACTTGCTTCATTTAGGGCAAATACGTCAAAAGACCATTTATCAACATCCTATAAGTGTGCAGAAAAGAAAAAGAACACCATAAAGTTTCAGTTTGTTTAAGTAGCATTCCAGCTAATCACTGGAAAAGATATTTTGCTTTTTTAGGGGAGAAGAAAAGGAAAGAAATCAATGTCTTGGGCTTTTTGTTGTTGGTTTTTTTGTGGTTTTTTGTGTTTGTTTTTTTTTTTTTTTTCCAATTCTTTCAAACTCTTTTTGTAGATAATGACTCAGTGAATATTTATTAATAAAAATATTAATATATTAATAAATATAATAACATTAATAAATATTAATAAAATACTTGTAACATGTCCTATGCAACTTAAAATCAAAGGCCTTAATCCTTCAAATTTAACGTTTGGTGTAAAATTTTTCTGTAAAACTCAATTAAGCTAATGTGAATAACTATTCTTCAAATAGGCTTCTGTGCAATGTTACTAATGCTACAGTGCCACACAGAGATTTGTAAATAACACAATAATGCTGTGCTCTCAGGAGAAAAGGTGAAGCTCTACATTCTTTCTCAGGGTATATAATTCTTTATTGAATATGTAGCCATAGTAATTTTACTATTATAAGAGACTGACTTTTAAGTAAACTATAGTGTTGCCTTAAATTCACAGAAAAAGTGCCATTGTTCCATAAGCCGCAATTTCTTTCATTATCTCTCTCCCAATATGACTTTCTTTTCTTTCCTAAAAAGAAAACAAATGCTGCTGCCTGAGATACTGATTACCATACTGGTGGGAGCTGACACAATCACAACTGTCACATTTTTATTAAAATTTCTATACCAGTTTTATACTCTTGCTCTAGTAACACCTAAATGAAATCACAACAAAACAGTAAAACAAAAACCAAAATCATATGCTATTTTTGAATTTTGAACTATTAAATTGCTCTGTTCTGTGTGTTCAGTTCTGCAGTACTAAATGTGTCTAGGGTATATTCAGTAGAAAAAATTATTTTACCCTAAAATTCACTAGAAATAAGTACTAATCCATTCAAATTTCACAATTAAAGTTATTTCACCTTAAATGTTACAATCACTTCTGCTGGGTAAGCCAAACCAACCATGCTAGAAGTTCTCCGGTACATCCTAAAAGAACAAATAAAATATTCAGTAAGAGTATTTCATTAAAAAGTATTATAACAATTTCTTGTTTTGTTTAGTCTTCTTTCACGATCTGTGAAAATAATACTAGGCTACTTGAGGGTCTGGTCTCAAAGATGACATAAGCATTTTCATGAACTTAAGAAACAAGCCCCTTTGATGGTGGATTACTGTTGTATGTTTCTATAATATTTGGCACACATCTTCATGTAGAAGATTCCAAGCTTTAAAATCCATTCTCAGAATTTTCCAAAGTCCAGGAGATTTCATTACGAATGTAGAGATTTTATCTGGGTTTCTGTATAGAAACATACACAGATACATAATTTGAATCCTAAAACCTGTCTTAAAGAATTGATACAGGCTCATCCCACCTTTTACAATAGACTCTGTGGTTAAATGTAATACTTACCACGGTAGGAAAACAGAACTCTCACCTTTCTACAAAAATCCCAGCCTGTACAGCATGCACAATGCTTCGAAATTTGGGCTTTTCTTCAGGTCTCCTCTTCACTATTCCCATTTCCCTTGTGAATGTAGAAGCTAACCAGTCTCGCACTTCCAGCGGGACCGAATCCGACTGGATGTCCGAGAGTTCATCCTCAGTGTCCAGAAGCCTCCTACAAAAAAGTTAATAAAAGTTAAGAAAATATTATGGACAGAAGCAAACGGAGAATGGACACACAAACAGCTCTCAAAACTTCATTTAATAGAAGCAAATGCTGTCTGTAGAATTAACTCAGTGCATTATCAGAGGTCCTCTCTGATAGACACACCAAGGCCTCGAGGGAGGCATGCACAGCATGTGGCTTCCCTCCTTCCCCTGTTCAAATCCTAGAATGTATAAGATGCTCAAAAAAATATTCAAGGAAAGGTAAGTAAAAAGTTTTCCACAAAGATGTCACAGCTTTGGTGGACTGAAATGTAACAATGAGTTATAAAATCCTTCCATATAAAAGAGTGACTGACATGAACACCTAGAAAAAGAGGTACAACAAATAACACCAGTGATCAATCTAAACCATCCTCCAAAATGATACAAAAATTTACATGCAAAACAAATTGTACTATGTAACAACCCTACAGTGAATGGGTTTCGATGAGCATCCAGTATATGTGTTCACTGCATTATTCCATTGCTACAACAGCAGTAATGAGAATGAATTTCTCCTGTTTTGAGATCAGCACTCCTATTGTAGGGTTGGTAATAAAATCATAACAATGTTATTAAAAAACTGGACTACAAGTCCCTGGTCAAGATCTTAAATCATTTAAATGGTTAGAAAAGCTATGTATACCTAATGCAGGATAAAAAATCTTTAAAAGGAACTTCACTTAAATAGAACCAGAGATCAATTCATTTAGAAGAAACTACAATATTCTCCTAAAACAGAGTCAACATTCAACAGTCATATTCTACAATTCTACAGATCTACCAGAAGTAGAATCACTTTTTTCTTGCTATTATTCACCCACATCGCTCAGTCTTCTGGGGTTTTTCCAGAAATAAATCACCTATTTATTCTCATAATAAGTTTTCCTTCATCAATTGTTCAAGAAACTCCAGAGGCAGGATGATTTGAACATATGCAATGCATGCCAACCTTTTAAAACATTCTATTAAAACTAGTACCAATTGAATTCCAGACACGATCTGATGACATATACTTATTTCTCTGGAGATGTCTTTCTGAAACTGTGCAGGTCTCCATGAATTGGACACAAAGCAATTGTGGACAAAGTATTTTTGATCGTGAACTGCTTATATATAACTCCTGATTCTTCCTCCTACTTGTGCACTCTTTCTTCATATATTCATATCTCTTCATCACTGTTTTGAAATCCTTAGCCTAATCTAGGTCTTCTATGTCTTCTATGGCAAATAGAGAAACAGAACAAAAACACAGATGATGAGGAAAGCCCTGTACACTTCAAAGGAACCCACACATAAATCTAATATTACCTGAGGGATTAGAGGGTGAAGTTCAGTAGGAAAAATGATGCAAGACACGTTACATAAATTATTTGAGAACACTGGAGTTTATTGCGTATTTGTGCTCATCTGCCCTATTCTCAATTTCAACAGCTCATCTGGTTGGCAGGACATTTTGTGGGACTTCTCCACCAGGACTTAAAAAAAAAAAAAAAGAAATCCATAAAGTTCTCCCCACAACAACACTGCTTTCTGAAAGAACAGTGGTTCCTATTTTTTAGGGGTACAAAATTGTCAGATTACAAACACAGAACACAAGAGGAACAGAATAGACAAGGATGATGCAGTTTTTCTGGCAGTGGGGAACTGGTCAGAAGTGGGTAATTTAATCTGGAGGAGGAGAAGGATTTGTGCAGAAGAAAGGACTCGGGCAAATCATCTTGCAAACCTGAACCAGGGCTGAGACTGCCAAGAGGTCAAAAGCTATAGACTGATTTTATTTCCCAGATTAAAAACTGTTATAATCCACTGAAATCTCTGCTAGAACAACATCATTCTTAAATATCCTGTATGCTTCATAAATACGAAGTATACATTAAATATCCTGCACAGATTTTTCTAAAAATTTTTTTTTCAAGATTGGCATTTGATGTAGTATAAGCAGGAATAGGCCTTGTAATTTCTAAAACGTTTTTCTAACTATTTAAAAGACAAGAAATTATTCCAGCAATAAAAAGACCATTGGCAGAGTCTGCTGCAGGAATAATCCACATCTTCTGCGTAGCACCAAGAACACTACGCTATTTGCTGTAGTCTGGTGTAGATGTGAATTGGGTACCACATCCCGAATCAGTGGAATCTGAATTAAGGCTAGAAAGACACACTTCTTGTTTCTAGTTTCTCTAATTTTTTTAACATTCATTTGTAAATCAGGAGGATTATTCAGTCTGTATATGATAATGAAAGGAATTACTTTAAGAAGACTGAACAGAGAAATCAGAATTTGAAGAAAGTGTTTACTTAATCAAGATTTTTTTGTTTGGTTTCTTGAACACTCCAGATTTTTTTCATGACACCAATCCTTTGTAATGAGAGGTGACTGAGCTATGTTTTATGAGAGTGACAGGTTAAGTGCCTCTGGTTCCTACTCCGGTAAGGAAGAAAGGCAATTGTAACAAAGAATGATGTTGTAAACACAGTCCTTTGTACCAGCTCCTACAGATCCCTCGGATTAGAACACATTCAACATATACCTTAATCACTTCTCAATGATAATTACTTTCTTTCAGAAGCTTGAATGAAAGAGCATTTGAGGAGAGCAAGCATGGAGTGGTAATTGCCTATTTTCTGCAAGTCTGTACATCTTCCTGACCTTTTGAATAATACAGTTCACATAGGCAAAAAATTATTCATGGCATGTGCATCGCTAGAAACGGCCTATGAACAAATTCACTAATGATTGTCATTATTCAGTAATTGGAGGGGCAGGACTCATATACGGGTCTACACAAAGTAGAAAAAAAGGATGGTTAGGTAGATCTATAATTTGATGGCAATTTTGTTCAGGAAAGAAACAAATTAGGATATATATTGCAGTATATAAACTACACTTAATTATCACAAATTGTTCAATATTGACCAATACTGAACTGATTTCTTGGTTTGTTATTTTTGTCTACTTATGTCCATTCACTTTGACTAAAAAAGAAACTATGAGTATCTATAAGAAATCCATTATATTTCCACAGGTGTGGATAGCATACATATTCCATTTTGCAGATTCTGCAAAATATATATTCAATTGTTCATCTTTTATTTACTGATATGAAAACACTTTGAGTGTTGATTGATGTGTATACAATGTATGTGTTTCACAAACGTCTGCCCTGTGACATAAGAACTTTGTATTGTTCTATCAGTATTTTTACTGACTTGCAAAATGTACACATAAATTTTACTAAAAGTAAAACAAAGAACTTTCAGCAAAAGTATCAGAAATAACAGATATTAACAAGAAGTACTAACAAGAAGTATTTCATCACTTTATATAAGTAGCAAAAATTAGCTTTTACATACAGCTAGGATGAGGTTTTGATTTTGATGCTTTTTTTTTTTTTTGACACAGATACTGGTTTTGTATTGAAGCATTTTGAATTCTAAGCATGTAAATCATTGAAGTGAACATACCAAGAAGATGATCAAGCCCATTTTCCTACACATCTGTGCCTCTTACTGTCACTTCTGTTGATCGAAACTTAACAGAAACAAAGGCTGGCTCTTCCAGAAAGCTTATAATCACATTGCTTCTGTGCAACCACTGAGCATTGTCATCATTGTTTTGAACAAGTTTTACAATTCAACATTTTCTATAACTACTGGAAAAAAAAGTAATGGTAAGAAGTGTACGTTGAGAATATTTTTATTCCTGAGCACTTATATTACTGGCCTTTTAATGTGTATCTGGTTAGAACTGATAGCTTCCAAGAGCTTCAGTAAAATCAGTGACTCAATAGGCAGTTACTGGTGTTTGGGTTTTGGATACTGAAAGTTACTTTTCAGATAAAAGGAAAAAATATATTTATAAATTCTCATTCGGCAATTCTATTATTATTAGAATTCTTGCTCTAACCTTCTGCTTCATGAATCACAGGTGAATATGTAAATTATTTTTATAGGAAATTATTTGGGATGCCTTTACGTTAAAAAAGAGAAGAAAAAGATTAAATAATACCAGAAGATGAGGTCAAGACAGATAAACATTGTTAAACCATTGATCTTGCTGAATAGTGCAGAGTTTTTTGTAAGCTTTTGCAATATAAAACTTTGTGTATGTTCAAAAATGCCATTGGAGAAATTGATGAAGAAAATAATAAGTGATCTCAACCGCTAAATAGAAGATAGAACCTCTAGTTTAGGAACTATTTGGAATGGACCGGTTGCAAGATCCATAGTCTCATTCCCCAAAGCAACCTGACTGAAGTGCTGAGATGGTTGGTATTTACTTTCTGTGTTAGAGCCAGCAGTTGTTCTCGTAAGTCAGCCTCAAAGTAAAACTGTAGTACGGCAAATATCACTGAATTGCAAACCATGAACTCCAGTTCAAATTAAACTTCAGTTTAATAAAACACATATTAATTTACCAAGGCACGTAATTTAGCTTTTTCTGTCCTAAACTTAAAAATGCTAATAAACAAATGTAGCAGACCAACAAAAAACACTTTACCTGTGGCATACCTGGAATTGTCTTAAACACTTCCTAAATAAGACCATCACCCTGACAACAAATTGGAGGCTGAAGATGTGGTTGAGTGGAGGGAGCCCTGCAGAGACAGGACAGCCTTGCTCTGTCCCAAACTGCCATTTGCAGCAGTTTAGGCTGCAAACTTGTCTATTGCAAACTTGTTGCGAACTTACTGACAGACTTGTGATGGCAAACCCCACGTGAAAGGAAGCCTAAGAGAAGTTCTGGAGGGCTTTGAGACTTCAATACTTGGAAGCTTCTAGACAAGCACTCTCACAGACTGAGGACCTCCCTGTCGGCTGGACAAACACTGGAACCTAGACTGGTCTTCTCTTTGTCTGTCTGTCTCTCACTGTGTACCTTTCTCCACACTCCACCCTCCATCTCTCTCCTTTCTTTTTCCCTCGTAAAGTTGGTAGGTAATACAAGGTTTATTCGAATTTCTT